AAGGCAGGAGGAGAAGGGGACAACAGAGAATGAGATGGTTGGATGGCATCACCAACTCAATGGACATGAGTTTGAGCAAGCTCCGGGAGTTGGTGATGCAAACCGAAGACTAGTGTGCTGCAGTCCATGGAGTCGGACATGACTGATGGACTGAACTGAACTGAAAGTCTTAGTAATAAATGAGGGAGCAGGTGTAGGTTTGTAAGAGAAGAGTGTGGAGGGCAGTCAATATTTATGAGATAGAAATTGGAGAAGTCTGTGGTTAGAAAGATAAGGAGACAATCAGAACAGTATGATGTTATAGAGGTCAAGGGGAGCAGTCTAGAAAGGTGAGAAATTAGTGGAATCCTTTAGATTATCCTGAAGGTCATTGGTGAGGAGACCAGAGAAGGATGCTCCAACAGCACCAATCTAGACCTTGTTTCTTTGCACCATCTTTCAACCAAGGAATTGAAGATTAGTGCTTGAAAGTCACTTTCTACTTGTTTATTCACTGATATGCATGCATGCATGCATTCATTCACTCAGCATAAGACCTCACATATAAGGAGATGCAAAGTACTAAAAGATACTGGACCCATATTAGCCACCCTGTTTTCTCCCCAATCAGGAATAAAGAGATGAAGCTCCTAAAGTAGACGGGCTCTCTGGTTTTATGAAAAGATCAGACTCATGGGTCATTTTCCACCCCCCACCCCCCCATGGGTCATTTTGAACTGGGTTTAAATCTCAGGTCTACCATTTAGAACATACTCATGAATCTCAAATGCATAATCTTCAGCACAAACCTCCCCTGAGTCTGTATATACAATTGTCTCCTCTGGAATTGCCACTGGGAGAGCTAAAACAATTCAAACATAACTTAGAACTACTCAAAAATCTCTCCACCCAAACCTAATCCTCTCCAATTCTCTCCTTCTGGGTAAATGGCATCACCGCCCAGGCTCTTGTTAAGGCCCAAATCCTAAATTCAGAAGAATATCCTATATTCATAATGATAAGCATATCTTGATCCCATTCTTACTCTACTACTATTATGTGTTGATTCCTCTTCACCCCATATCTAATTTGGCTCTACTTTCAAAATACATCCCAAATCTAGTAGCTTCTCACAACCAGCTTCAAATCCAAACTCCTTACCACGACCCTGTGTATTCTGGTCCCTACCTGGCTTCTCCCTCACAACAGGCCTTCCTTCGGCCCTAAAACATACCTTATTCATTGCTTTTGTATTTGTTTTTCCCTCTGATTGAAGCACTCTTTGGACTTCCCACGTGGCACAGTGGTAAAGAATCCACCAACCATCCTGCCAACCAGGAAACACAATTTGATCCCTGGGTTTGGAAGCTCCCCTGAAGAAGGAAATGGCAACCCACTCCAGTATTCTTACCTGGAAAATTCCATGGACAGATGAACCTGGCAGGCTACAGTCCATGGGGTCGCAAAGAATCGGACACGACTGAGCACACATGCCACACCCAAAGCACTCTTTTTCCAGATTGTCACCTGCCTGTGAAGTGAAAGGCCTGTCAAGTGAAGTGAAAGTCTCTCAGCCGTGTCCGACTCTTCTCAACCCCACAGATTATATAGTCCATGGAATTCTCCATGCCAGAATACTGGAGTGGGTAGCCTAACCCTTCTCCAGCAGATCTTTCTGACCCAGAATCGAACTGGGATTTCCCACATTGCAGGCAGGTTCTTTACCAGTTGAACTACCGGGGAAGCCCTGACTCCTCCTGAATATTCAGGTTTCAGCTCAAATTTCACTTTCTGAGAATACTGTGTGAGTCCCTTACTCTCTGCCACAGAAATTATCCTACATAATTAATTAAAAAAAATTTTTTTGGGGGTACTTGTTCTCCAGGGAATCCCCAGGGCCTAGAAAAATGCCTGGTGCATGAGACTTTTGTTAAACATTTGTTAACTGACAGGTTGACTCCATTTTTTTTTTTTACTCCAATTTTTTAGGCCTCCATTTCCTTATAAATTGAAGAGAGTAATAATGCATATTTTGTTTGGTAGATTTAAGCCTCAGAAATGTAGGGAAGGGAATTCCCTAGCTGTCCAGTGGTTAAGACTCTTAACTTTCACTGCAGTGGGAACAGGTTCGATCCCTGTGGGGGCACTAGGATCTCACATGCTGCCTTGGGCAGCAGAAAATAGAGTATCAAAAAAAAAGTAGGTAAAAATATTGAGGATACCGGGGAAATTGCTGCACAGTGAACCTTTGCAATTTGCTGCTGAGTTCCATCAGAACCGATGAGCCGACTGACAAACCCTCCTTTCCCTCTCAGGTAAAAGGAGCCACGGGTGAAGAGGCCTAGGAAGATGTGGTCCCACTCCACAGCATTATCATCTCCCTTTTAAGAAGCAGAGAAACTCATCCCCCATCCCCAATGTTTAATGTACCGAAGTTAGTGCAAGTCACGTGAGCCCCGGGTTGCCCCGCCTTAAAGAGGCGGAGTCCCAGTTTGGAGACCAATAGCAGGAACACTCTCCGGAACCGCCCCCAACTCCAGAAAGGGATAAGGGGAGGAGCCGGGCGCCCAGCAACTGTTATAGCACTTCCGGACAATACGCCCCGCCCCTCCTCCCCCTTCCCTGTCCGCTTATTTCTCCAGTGCCGGGTGGGCAGAACCAGCGGGTGCAGATTACAGGCGCCGCCGTAGTGCTGCTGCTTTCTCCTCGCCTACACCTCTCAGTCTCCCCCCGCTACCCTCGCAGAGTAGCGGGACCGGCCTTGATGTAGGGACACCACCCTCCTGCCTCCGCCTCTCTCCGCGCTAACTTGGGACCCCGGCTCACCGCAGTCCGCTCGCGTCTCCACCCTGCCCGCCGCGCTCTGCTCCGAGCTCATTGTATCCTCCCCATTCCTGGGCTCAGACTCCGAAGCCAAGCTGTGGCGGGAAGATCGGGGACCCCTGTGCGCCCCTCCAGCCGGTCCCGCGAATTGGGGCCCCTCCCCCGCCTGCCGTCCTCGCAACAGCGCGATAGTGGCGAGGGCTCTCTTTCCTTACCACTAAAGCAGAGAGGGCCAACTGGCGGGCAGCAGGGACGAAGCCCCCACTCCCAGCCGCGAGCCCTCTCCTCCCGTCCCCTTCCTAGGGGAAGGAGAGCCGAAGCCCGAGCGAGCTGAGGCAGGAAAAGGCAGCCGTGGACTGCCCAGCCAGGAGATCATTTTTATTATCGAGATTATTATTAAAAGGGGGCGGGGAGCCCAGGATGAGGGGGAGGGGGTTAGAGACGCAGCTATTTTTATTAAACAGATTATTCCTGAAATAATAATACGCGCAAGATGGCTGAAGGTGGCTGTGATGAGAGTGTTGGGGCTTTTTTTTCTTCCCCTCTTTTTTTTTTTTTTGATCTGAGGATAAAGCTCTGAGGCGACAGCCGCTGCGGAGACCCTGCCCGGAGTGCCCTCCCCCCAGTTGAGAAGCAGCAGGCGGACAAACGGACCCACCGACGGAGCGACTGGCTCGGGCCCGCCCCGGACGCGTCGCCTGGGCAGCAGCTGGGGGCCGCGGGCGCTCGCCTTTCTGCCGACTTCTTCCAATTCTAATCTTTTTTTATTTTTTGGAAAGAACCAGGGTGGGTGGAGCAGAGGTGGAGAGAAATCGGGACTTGGCATTTTCTCCCCTGTCTTCTAATCTGAGGGAGGCCGCCAGCCCTCCCCTTAAAAATCCCACCAAAAAAAAAAAAGAGAGAGAGAGAGAGAGAGAGCAAGCGATAGAAAGAACGCTGCAGGACCCTCCAGCGAGCGCGCTCGGACCCCCGGCCGCCACTGCGGCGGCTGCCGGGAGCTCAAGATGGCTGGACGCTGAGGGAGGCAGCCCGGCCCGGCTGGCTCGGCCCGGCTCCGCCGCCGCGGGCTGGCTCCGACCGCAGCCCCGAAGACCGGAGCAGAGGCCGAGAAGAAAAGAAAGTGGGGGGGAGGGGGGCCGGGGTGGCGAAGGGGGAGGGCCGGGCCGGGGCGGGGGGGAGGGGAAGGCCGGGAGCCGAGCCTCCTGTTCATTAGCAGTTGAGAAAAATTCCTTTCTAGTTTGATCAATCCTTGTTTTCCTCGGCAGAGCCGGGGCGCCCGCCCAGCGCGAAGACGGAGAGCGGGGTCTCTCCGCGGCGGGGGCGCCGGGCGCCAGGCCTCGGGGGAACGCAGAAGTAGAGACGAGGGGGTCAGGCAGGAGCTCCGCCGGGGCTTCTCCTCCCTCCCTTTCTGGTTGGCTTTTTTTTTTTTTTTTTTCCACTTCTCTCCCTCCCCCTTCCGTTTCTATTTGTGAAGGGAGGAGGAAGGCAGAGGCGGGCTGCTGTCTCTGGCCGGGGACTGGAATTTCATCTGAATGACTGCCCCTGCGCTCACGCAGCGCCCCGGAGTCGGCCCGCCTGCGCCCCGCAGCCCGCACCCGCAGACCGCGGGCCAGCCAGTGGGCGCCCGCGCCGCGGCCCGGGGACCGGCTCGCCTCGCCCGGATCTAGCAGTCTTTGGCCGGGCCGCACTTGCTTCCCCGGCCTCTCAGACCCCGGCCGAGGCGAGGGAGGCGCGGCGCCGGCGAGCCGGGAGAGAGCCACCATTGCCGCCGCTGTCTCTGGAGGAAGTGTGCGGCTCCCGGGCTCTGTCCGCCTTGGGGCGCGCCCCAATGTCAGTCGCGGGCCGGAGTGCGGGCCGCCGGCCGCAGCTGCCTTAGCCGCGCCGACCGAGAGGCGGCCTCTTATATGGAATTTGGACCCCGGCGCTCCCCTCCAGGGCTGGTGCCCCGGCCGCGGCCCTGGCGCAGTCCGCCGCCTCCCGCTAGGCGCTCCGGAGGAGGAGGAGGAGACGCAGCCGGCTGCGCGCGCTGCGTGAGGACCGAGGCTCACTCCTCTGGGGGGCGGGAGCGCGGAAGGCGCTGGTGAACTGAGCGACTGTCGGGACCGCTCGGGGCTCGGTGGCCCTCCCGCGGCACCGGACGGACCCCCCCAGGTCGGGGTGTTGGGGAGACCTGCCCGGGCCCCCTGCCCGCCGCCGCCATGGCGGAGAATTGGAAGAACTGCTTTGAGGAGGAGCTCATCTGCCCGATCTGCCTGCACGTCTTCGTGGAGCCGGTGCAGCTGCCGTGCAAACACAACTTCTGTCGGGGCTGCATCGGCGAGGCGTGGGCCAAGGACAGCGGCCTGGTGCGCTGCCCAGAGTGCAACCAGGCCTACAACCAGAAGCCGGGCCTGGAAAAGAACCTGAAGCTCACCAACATCGTGGAGAAGTTCAACGCCCTGCACGTGGAGAAGCCGCCGGCGGCGCTGCACTGCGTGTTCTGTCGCCGCGGCCCCCCGCTGCCCGCGCAGAAGGTCTGCCTGCGCTGCGAGGCGCCCTGCTGCCAGTCCCACGTGCAGACGCACCTGCAGCAGCCCTCCACCGCCCGCGGGCACCTCCTGGTGGAGGCGGACGACGTGCGGGCCTGGAGCTGCCCGCAGCACAACGCCTACCGCCTTTACCACTGCGAAGCCGAGCAGGTGGCCGTGTGCCAGTACTGCTGCTACTACAGCGGTGCGCATCAGGGACACTCGGTGTGCGACGTGGAGATCCGGAGGAATGAGATCCGGGCAAGTACCCTACACACACACACACAATCACACAGTCCCCTCCTTCCCTGCAGCCTGGGATCACCCTTCCGGACAGGCTGACTCTTGTGACATCAGGCCAGAGGCCCCCTTCCAAACTCCCACTCTGTAAGTTTGGAGGCAAGGTCCTGGGAAGAAGGGTCCCCAATCGCTACTTGATATATTCCTGCACCTGTGCTCATAGGGTCCATCTTGTCAGTCACTTATAGAAATGAGGTGTGGGGCTGTCAGGGGTAGAGTTTGGTTGTTGCTTTTCTGTTTTGCGCGCAGCTCCCTGGCCCGGCAGTTGTTTCCGTAGGCCCTAGGGGAAGTCACTAAAGGCAGTGACCCAGGTCCTGCTTCTCCAGCTGCTGTTTATGTAATGAGTGTCCTGGTGCCGCTGCTGTGGCTGACATGATCCATGATGCTGGCATACCAATGAGGAAGTAAACAAAAGCAGCCATGTTAGTTTCAAGCCCTATTGGAAACACATTGGGAGGGTGGAGGGGGAGCTTCCGGAGGGAGAGCAGAGCCCCTGGTATCTATCTGGCCAAGGCCTAGGCAGCCAACGGCATCACCAGGACAGCATCTCGGCTGTTGGGATTATTCCCCGTAACCCCCTCTCCATATGTGAGAATCGCTGCCCACAGTGTGCCTGTGTGTGTTGCACTCGTCCGCATGAACACACCTTAAAGTATGTCTTCATCACCCTGAGCCTTTTTCTCCCAGCCCAGCCCTCTATCACAGCCCTCCCACATTTGGGGAGGGGAAGTGGAAGACGGAAAAAGAATCCTGTGGGTTTAAGGTTGAGCCGCCTTGCAATCTGGTTTCAGGCAGCTGGCTCCCCTGGGCTGCCGGCTGGGTGATTATGGAACCGCATCCCCTCCCATTGTATACACCCTGCAGCAGCGGCCAATGTCAAAACCGCCTTCCCCCTCAGGCCTCTGAGCCTGGCCTGGCAGTGGAGCTGGACTGAAGCAATACTTCCGTCCCCTTCAGTGGAGGGGGGCTCCTCCTAGGTTCCTCCCTGGTCCCCTGGCTTTCAGGGTTGAGTCATACCAGAAGGAAGGGGTTGGCCTGAGACTGTCTGAGCCATCTCAGAAGCCCCAGCTTGGGGCCTGGGTGTGATATCATGGGGGTGAGACTGGGAGTGTTGCTGGGTGGGGACCCCTGGAGGCTAGTCCAGGCCAGTGGGAGCTTGGGTATGAGGAAGCTCTGAGCAGGGCACAGTTGGAGATGGGGGCTGTTTCCTGTGAGGGGGACCAGTCAGAATGAGTCACTGTTTAGCAATTAAAAAACATACACATACAACTAACAAAAGGCAGGAGGGCTGCCACAGGCTGAGGGCAGGGATAACAAATAAAATTTGCTGTATAATTAGTTTCCAATTGGATGGGCTAGCTCTGGGGTTTTGTGCCAGGGCAGGGCCTCTTGATTCTTAAAGGAAGTGTGTGTGTGTAATAGGGGAGGATGGAGAGAAGAGCCACCTCCTCACACACACCAGGACTGGAAAAGGCAGAGGCCTAGGGGAACAAATGAGCCCCTGGTGTCCTCCACCCCCAACCCAGGGCAGGCAGAGCCCAGACTATTAATAGAAGAAGCTGTTAATAAAGGTAGAAGGGCTGGGAAGGAGGCTGGGAAAAGTGCAGAAAAAGGAAAGCTGCCCAGTTCTCTGTCCTGGGTTTGACAGTGGAAAATGAAAGGAGGGGAAAGGTGGAGATGTGGCTGAAAGGCACAGAGAAAGGGACAACAGCCAGGGTGATGAGTAAGTGTGTAGAGTGAGTGTGTGTCTGCACCCACGGCTTTGCCCTTAGTTATGTCAGAGTGCTCAGGTGTCTTTCATTTCGGTGGGGGAGAAAACACAGTTATACCTGATTTGGTAGTAGGAGGGTGTCTGTAGACGTGGGTCCATGTTCTCGAGTGTCTCTGAGACTGTCTGCTTTGCCCTCAAAGGTTCCTGGCACACGTACACAGTGTACCCTGGAGTTCCCACCAGCAGGTCCTTGAGTGCATCGAAGGACCTGGATGGAAGCAGGCCCTGAACTTTGTTAGCAGCTCCATGTGCATGTGCATCTGTGTGTGTGTTTGTTCCTGTGCCTGCTGTGGGCAGGCGCAGAAGTAGTGGGTTGCATCACAGCCAGATGTGCAGTTCTGTGTGCTCAGCATCTGTGCCCCACAGCCTGAGTCTCATCCCTTCCCAGGCTCCCCTACCCTAGGCCCTCCAGATTCTCTCTGCTGTCAGGGCACTGGAATTGGAAACCCTACAGTGGTCTCAGCTCCATGCTACCTCCCCTTGGTGTGAGTTGGACTTACTGAACAGGAGGGCCTCACCCTCATGGGAGGGGGCGAGCCACAGAGAATCTGAATGGAAGAACCCATTGCGCTCCATCCTCTCTAGGCCAGCCAGGGGGAGGGGCCTTTTCCTGGGCCTCTTTTCCCTTGTGGGAGGGAGTCTGTCTTAAAGGGCCCCGGCTGGTGCCATGGATGAAGGCAACAGAATTCTCCCAGATACAGGAGCAGACGCATAGAAACCTGGATCACACCTTAGGATACAGACAGCTCTGCTTCTTGTGCTTCCTCTTCTGTCATCCCAGGGAAGGGCTAGGGGCTGCTGAAATGCCCTATTGGCTAGAAACAGGAAACCCTGATCAATCTCCCCGGGTGGTCCTCTGCCCCATAGTCAAAGCACCCACCTGTGCAGTGACACAGAGCTGGGACCCAGCAGGGAGCCAAGCAGGGCTTCCACCTAGCAGGGGGCTCAAAGGCAGGCCTTTGAAGTCCTTGCCCCACTCTGCCCTTGGGAAGCCAGTGTGCAGGCCATGTTGCCCTGAAGCTTGGATGCCCACTGGGTAGACCCTAGAGACCATGCTCCCGAGACACCTTTAGACCCCAGTGTGTTCTCCTTTGGGGCTATGTAAGGCTGAGGACCCAAGATTGGGGCATCCAGGTGGTCAAACCCTCTTCAGCCCCCAGGTTTAGGGATTCATGTGAGCAACTTGGGACTAGTTTGAGCTGAGAGCACCTCTATCTTAGAACCCTCCTCAACATAGAAAGAAGACCCAAGCCTAGATGTGTCTGTAAATGGTTACACAGTGTGTGTGTGTGTGTGTGTGTGTGTGTGTGTGTGTGTTCAGGTCATAGTTGTGCCTCTGTGTCATTCCTAATACCCCAGACTGAGGTTGGAAATGTTCCCAGGACTTTGTATCTTGAGTTCTTAAAGGTTTAGTGTTGAGAAGAGGTTTTTCTCTGGAGACAGGATCCCACTTCTTGGGCCAGTTTGGGGTTCACAGCTGCTGGGGGTGGAGGTTACCCTGCTCCCATTGCCGCTGGCCAGAGGGGTTGCCCTAGGACCCTGGAGGGGACCCTAGGTCTCTGTCCCATGTGTCTGTCACCAGGTGGGCTCTGGGAGAGAGGGCTGCCCTGGCCCAGCTAGAGCCTGGCTGTGGCTGCAGCCTGCCTCAGGCAGTATTGACCCTGCTGCCCCCCACCGACCATAATCCTGAGGTCTCAGGTGGGGTGGGAGCTAGGATGGGGAGGCTGTGTGTGGGTGTGTGTGTGTGAGGTGTGAGGGTCAGGTAACTGCTCCTTTACCATCCTGAAGGATCAGGAAGCGGGGCAGGGCTTGGCCTTCCTCCCTGGGCCCCAGGCAGAGGGGAAGGAACCTGAGTCGGAGGCCCAGCCCCCGACCTCCATCCCAGAATCCTGCTGATTCAGCTGGGCACCTGTCATGCATGCCCTATTGATTATCTGCATCCCCCAGCTCTGGGTGCCTGTGCGTCCATCTCCACAGATGTGCATGTGTAACTGGTGTGTCTGGGTGTGCATCTCATGTGGAACTACTGTTTTGTATCTCACGTGTATATCTCCAAAAAGGTACAGTGTGAATGACTGACTTAATTACAGAGTTGTTTTGTGTCTGACTGTGGGGCCGGGAAGATCCATGTGTGTGTTGTTGGTGGGGGTGGGGGGTGCCCTACTGACTGTACACCTGTGAGTGGAAGTTGAGTGTGCACACATGTCTATAGGTGATGGCACTAGTGTGTGTGTGACTGCCTGCCTGGTGGTGGTTGGTTGGTAGGTGTGAGTCTTGTGTAACTTTCTCATCTGGTGGGGATGTTGGGGTCGGGTGGGGAGGGGAGGGGAGGGGACGCACCTTTGGGTAAGCTTGTTGCCTGAGGTGGGTATTGGAGGTGGAAGCCCAGATGGATCCTCCCATGCTGTGTTGGGGGCAGTCAGGGTGGTCGTAGGAAGAAGGGGAGCCTGGCTGGGGCCCCAGCCCCGGCCTTAGCAGGCAGGCCTGGCTGGCCGTATCCCTGGCTCTGGGAAAGCCTTCCTTCCCGGCTGGCCTGGCATTCAAACCCAGACAAAGGGGGGCTTTCTCTCTCGCCTCTTTGTTCTGCTGCCCCAGAGCGCTGCTCTCTGCATGGCAAAAGCTAATTCCACTCTGCAGCTGGGAAACCCTCTCTAGGTCTGCCGGGGCTTGCCTCCAAGGTGCCGCCTTTCTCCTTGCCCTGGCTCCCGCCCTGTAGCCACTTCACTCTGGGTCTGTGGTTGTCTGCAGCCTAGGGGGCCACACAGTAGCCCCAGGCAGGGACTGAGGCCTGGGAAGGGGTGACCAGGGCAGGCAGAAGCTGCTCTGAGGCCAGGAGGGAGTGCTGTGGCCCAAGGAGAGGGGAGGCTAACTAATATACTCCTGGGACTAGGGCTGATGCAGGAGAGTGGGGGGCGGCTTTGGCAGCTGGGGAGGAGGTTAGGAGGGTGTCACTCTGCGCAGGGGCTGCCTCCGGAGCGGGAGCTGGCATGGGGGTCATCTGAGCAGGAAGAGGTGCTCTGGCCGCCCAGTACCCTTTGCTCACCTTCAGATCTGGCCCCCTCTAAAAAACCTGGGGCCTGCCTCTGGCCTGGCTCTTGAGGCCCTGTTTCCTCCTGACTTTACTTTTCTTCAAGGTTGACTTGAGGATTTTATTATTATCATTTATTAACTTTTATACATCCTAGAGTCTCTATGGCCTTACCCATCTGCCCAGTCCAGTCCGGCACCAGAAATGCCAGTTGGGCCTGGCCAGTCTCTAGAAGGCTGGGAAGCTTTCCCGGGGCAGGAATGTGAGGGGCTCATAATGGATCCCTCTCCAAGCTGGTGTTGGGTGTCAGAGAGAGCAGCTCAAGGCAGAATCTGGAACATTAGGCGACAGGTATGAGGGTCTCGGAAGAGTGGGAATAGTGGGCCCCCAAGTCTTCCTGATGCTTTTGCCCTAACAGGCCCAGAAGCAGACTGTGGAAGGTCTTAAGTCCTCAGGGAAGGAATAGGGGTGGGAGTGAGCAGGACCCACCTGGGCCAGCAGGTGTGGAGTGGGGCTGGGCCTCACGGCCTTCTGTGGGAGGTGTGGTCCCTTGAGTGCTACTAGTCTAGACCATGGTTCTCTCCATTCTGCTTCTGCACACTGGAGGTGTGCCGCGGTCCAGGTGACCCACCACGGGCTGGGAGCAGTTTGTAGAGTGTATGTCCCACTGCCTCCGGCATTGAGAGGCGGTCAGGCTGGGAAATCTCTCACCTGTGGGTTCTTCCCAAGTGGGTAATGGAGCCTCAACTCTCAGTAATTTCCGGGAAGTTGAGATGGAAAGGAGGCTGCTGGTAGGGGAAGGGGCCCTTGCTTCCTCTGCTCCCCATCTTCTAGCTTCTTAGCAACCTGATTCAGTCATTTGGTGGGATTGAGGGGCAGCAAGCAGATTTCCATTCTCCCTACCACCACTCCTACCCCCGATTTTCCAACGTCTGAGACAGCAGTGTTCCCTCCAGCCTCCTGTTCCCCCAGGTGTTGACTGTGGCAGGAGTAAGATCACCTAGCCCCGAGGGAGAGTGATTCCTGCAAGGGTGAGCTGGACAGGGTAGGCCCCCTTCCCAGGCCAAGGGTGACTGCTACTCCCTGACAGTTTCCTTCCTATTCTGGGCCTCTCCCTTCCCCCTGTAGTGGAGACAGAAGGCCGATGGCCTCTGAGCGGGCCTGGGCTGATGAAACCCAGCCACCTGCTGGGGAATGTGCCCACTTGGCTGGGCTGAGCTCTGTCCCAGAGGGCTTGGGGCAGGCAGGAGTTAGGGCTTGGATCCGGAAGTCAAGGGAGGACACCTCAGGGTCCTGGGGTGTCAATGCTGCCAGCAGAGGATCTGGGAAAAGCCCAGAAGAAGGAAGGGGGTGAGTCCCACCCTCTGGGACAAGACCTAAAGTGCCTCCCTGGGCTGTACCCTGAGGGGGTTTTAGAGGGGTGTGGTGGGGACCTCCCACTGGTCTGGAGGGTGGGAGTGAACAGGCCCACTCCAGGGCTCTGAGGGAAAGGGGGCTGGGATCCCATCTGGGGCTGCCTGTCTCCTGCCCCTCATCTGGGACTCAGCCCCAGGTACACCCCTACTCTGATACTGATGGGTTTGGTCATGTGAAGGAGATGGGCAGGGAGACTGCAGTGCACAGATGTGTGGAGGTGGGTGAAGCCTGGGCTCTCATATGTCCTGGACACTGGGAAGGCCTGGAGCCTCAGATGCATCTGGGTTGGAGGACTGTCCTCCCAAGTGTGGGGACGAGGCAGCCACCAGGCAGAAATGTGTTATAGGGAGGTACAAAGGTCTAAAGTCCTTTGGTATTCTGGCCACCTCACCTTCACGCAGGCCTCCCTCAGTTGCCTGGGGCCTTCAGCACTGTGCAGGGCTGTGTGTGTAAGACAATGTGCCTGAGGTGGTCTCAGGGCCCAGGTGGCGGTGTGTGCCTGTGCAGTTGTATACATGTAGTCGGGCCGTACTGTGGGGGGGGCTGCCTGCCCTCTTCACATGACTGGGGGCAGTTTCACAGACAGGGAGGAAGGACGTGTGACTACCTCCATTCCTGCTCCCAGCCAGCTGTTTCTAGACAGGCTCTGACTCCCAGGCTGGCAGCAGATCCCTGTGCATGCAGGGCTGGGGTGAGGGGCCTGCTGGAAGGATGAGGTGCTGGAGTGGGGGCAGGGCTGTGTCGGTGGGTTGTTTCATGAGGTGCTGTCCTGGGTCACTGAAAGGTCAAGTTGTTGGCGGGGTGGGGGTGCAGTGTGTCCCAGACTTTTCCAGCTCAGAATCTGAATGCCTCCTCCTGGCCCCGGAGATTTGGTTTTCTGTTTCCAGGGTCACCACCAACACAAAACAGGGTCGCTAAACTCTTACTGGCCTTGGTTTCCCCATATGTAAAAGGGGTTGGGGGTATAAGGGAGGGATTGCTGGCAGCTTGTCTTGAGGAAGCCTCCTGAATGTGAATGGGAGTGAGGGTCATGGGGTCAAACTTGAGGGTCACTTTGAGGTGTACACAGAGGAAGAAAAAGAGCCACTTTTGGTGGAGTGGACACTTACTGTGAGCTAGGGTCTGTGCAATCTGTTTTGCAAATCTTGTTTTGTGCACAAAACTCATGGGTTTATTCAGCAAACAACGTTATGCATCTGTAGGGTGCTGGGGTCCTTGGGTCTCAACTGGGAAGGGAAGTAGAAAAATACAGTAGCAAAGCCCTGTTTTCAAGAAGCCTTGAGTTTTGTTTGGAGATCAGAGTGCAGTTTGTCAGACAGACTATAGAATGCTGTTGTCCTTAGCTCTTTCTGTGACGTGGCCATGATTTGTGTCTGTAGTGTCCAATATAGTAGCCACTAGCTACATGGAGCTGTTGAGCACTTGAACCGAGTGAAAAACTGGTGCTTAGTGTATTTGACTTTTGATTAACTTAAAGTGGAATAGCCACATTATGACTAGTGGCTACCATATTGGACACCACAGCTATAGAAGGAGAGCAATGTGACAGCCCCATCGTACGGCCAGGACAAGGAGGGACCTTCAGAGCCTCTGAGCAGGGGCCATGGAGAGGAGCGGAGCCTTAAGCTGGGCCTTGAAGGATAGACAGGGAATAGGAGAAGGTACCTCGAGCTACAGAAAGGCATCAACAGGCTTCAGGGAGCTCGAATGTGCAGTGTCAGGGACAAGATACCAGCCCACCTGACTGGGAGAAGTAGGTTGTAAGAGCCTACCGTGTTTCGAAGGAGGGGTCATTGAGGGCTCTTGGGCAGAAAAGGGACCTTGTTTCAAGAGGTGTGTCTGGTAAGGGAGGATAACAAGGTGGTTGGAACAGCCAGGATGAGCAGCGCTGGGAGGAAAGGGCTTGTGGAGTCAGAAGATTAAGGGCTGAGAAGGGGAGCATGGTCCAGAACCTTCCAGCAAACTGGCCTCAAGTCTTTGGAGAGCCAGAGTCTTCTCTCCTTCCAGGTCCAACTAGCAAGGACTTCAGAGGCCCAGCTCTCAGTGTCAGGAGCAAGCCAGGGGTCAGCTGGCTGGCTTGATGTCCCCCAAGTGTAAGGCAAGCATAAGATAAGATCTCTGGACTGGGCCAGAGGACTTGTGAGACCCAGGAAAGCTGTGTGAAGCTATGTACCATTTCTAAGATGGTGCTCCCCAGAGAGAGGCCCCATGACTTGGATAAGAACAGACCCTACTGCCTGGTCATTTAGGTTTGTATTCCAGCTCTGACACTTACTAGCTGTGTGACTTTGGAGGGACTACTTAACCTTTCTGGTTTCCTCTTCTCTGAAATGTGGATAATAATAGTACTTATCTCATAGCATCCCTGGAATGATTAGATAATTCTATACAGGAAAAGTGCTAGAACCGAGGCTGGCCTGACCCTGCCCTCAGAAAGCTCATGGTTTAGAAATGTTTTGGAAGCTATTCCCGGCTCTCTGTTCCTGGGGACAGGCTGGCCAGGGCCCTGGGATTGCATGAGGGCCAGAAGGGATTGGGTGGCAGAAATTTTAGATCATCTGGTTCAAAGGATCTATAGGATGAGTTTGTTCTGTACAGGGAAGGATGGTGTTCACCCATCTTAGCCCCCTCTGATGCCCTTCCCCCTATTGTTTCTGCAGAAGATGCTGATGAAGCAGCAGGACCGACTGGAGGAGCGAGAGCAGGATATTGAGGACCAGCTGTACAAACTTGAGTCAGACAAGCGCCTGGTGGAGGTAGCCAAGCCCACGCCCATGGGATAGGGTGGGGATGGCTTGGGTGCAAGGCCTGGGGCTAGTTCCTTGCTTGGGCTCGGACCTGTTGCATGGTCATCAGCTCTATATGCCAGAATTCCTTGCTCAGTCATTCAATGAATGACCTGTCAGTGGATGAGCCCCTGACTGGTGCCAGGGTTGCTGTACTACCATTTCAGGATTCCAGGTCCGACCTTGCCCGTGGGAAGCCCTAGGCAGCCTGGGGGCTTGGGGTCCCAGACTCCCCTATCCAGGATGGGAGTCAGGCAGGAGTGGCAGCCAGAGGCAGCCCCATACTCACCGGTCCCCCCACCCTTGCAGGAGAAGGTGAGCCAGCTGAAGGAGGAGGTGCGACTGCAGTACGAGAAGCTGCACCAGCTGCTGGACGAGGACCTGCGGCAGACAGTGGAGGTCCTGGACAAGGCCCAGGCCAAATTCTGCAGTGAGAACGCAGCGCAGGCGCTGCATCTCGGGGAACGCATGCAGGAGGCCAAGAAGCTCCTGGGCTCCCTACAGCTACTCTTCGACAAGACAGAGGATGTCAGCTTCATGAAGGTGGGCTGGGCCCAGGGCTGGCTGGCGGGACCCATGGGGACATTTCTAAGTTGGAGTCCGCGTGCTTTGCTCCCCAGCTGGCTCCCCCAACCGCAGGGGGTTTGCAGCCAGCCTGCACGGATTCAGAACCTCCCCACCACCCCCGTTCTTTCTAGCTTTATGACCTTGGCAAGTCATATATGTTCCCTAGGCCTCAGCTACCTCAGTTATAAAATAGGGTTGATAATGTTGTTTTTGTTCAGTCACTCAGTCGTGTCTGACTCTTTGCGACCCCATGGACTGCAGAGGCCAGGCTTCCCTGCCCTTCGCCATCTCCCAGAGCTTGCTCAAACTCATGTCTGTTGAATTGGTGATGCCATCCAACCATCTCGTCCTCTTGTAATCACTGTCTCCTCCTGCCTTCAGTCTTTCCCAGCATCAGGGTCTTTTCCGTACAGATCTATTATCTATTATCCATAATTCCAGATTTTTAAAAATCTCTTGACAACCGAAAGAGAAAAGTTCAGGCAACTCATTTAACAGCAAAAATTTGACCTGAACTAATGTTGGCAATTTATGATATTTATTGATCTTACTTGGTACAAATATTGAAACGTTGCTGCAGAAACATCGATGTGTTAGATTATGGTGTTCTCCGTAATCACATATTATGATACAGGCATCACATGTCCCTTCCAAAATCCAAAAAATTCCATAATCCGAAACACATCCTGCCCCAAAGATTCTGGATAAAATATTGAGTGCCTGCAGAACCTTCCTATTTGTGGTAGTTTAGATAAGATGCTGGATGTCTGGAAAGCACTCATAGTGTTGTCTGTCACACAGCAAGAGCTCAGTCTTCTGAAAACAGAGGCACCCCACCCTCTGCCCCTGCAACACTCTGGCCAGCCTCAGAAGTGTCAGCCCTGCATGGGGAGAGAGAGAGAATGGGGCAGCTTCCATCTTCCCCTCTCCCATGCTGCCTTTCCCACTGACACCCTTTTCTCTCCCCCTAGAACACCAAGTCTGTGAAAATCCTAATGGACAGGTGAGCAGATGGCCGCTGGCCCTCAGGGGAACACATGTAGGGGAGGGCAGGAAGGGGCAGGCCCATGGCGGGGAGGTAGGGCGGGCTTACGCGTGATACCTCCTCACAGCAGATGCCCCGTCCACTGCCCCCAGGACCCAGACCTGCACAGGCAGCAGCCTCTCTCCCCCTAAGATCGGCCACCTGAACTCCAAGCTCTTCCTGAATGAGGTGGCCAAGAAGGAGAAACAGCTGCGGAAGATGCTAGAAGGTGAGGGGTGAGATCCTCAATCAAAGGAAGAGAAACCTTTGCATGCATGCTCAGTTGTTTCAACTGTGTCTGATACTTTGCAACCCCATAGACTGTAGCTGGCCAGGCTCCTCTGTCCATAAGATTCTCCAGGCAAAGATACTGGAGTGGGTTGCCATGCCATCCTCCAGGGGATCTTCCCAACCTGGGGATTGAGCCTGTGTCTCCTGCATCGCAGGAGGATTCTTTACCCACTGAGCCACCTGGGAAGGCCGAGGGAACCATCTGGGCAAGGGTAAATGCCAGAACCTTCCCTCTGAGAGGTAGCCTGGCCTGTCATAAGCCTTGCCTCATATCCTGGCTCTGCCACTTCCAGCTGTGGGACCTTGGGCAGGCCATAGTACTTCCCTGAGCCTCGGCTTCTTCAGCTGTAAAAGCGGAATGGAGTAGCCAGCATCAAGATGATGTGTGATGTACTGTGCTTGGCCCCATAGACAGAAAAGTTCCCCGGGGAGAGGAGGCTGGGATGGCCTGGGATGGGGCTTTTGCGACTTTTGCCCAAACTTTCCACAGGCCCCTTCAGCACACCGGTGCCCTTCCTGCAGAGCGTCCCCCTGTACCCCTGTGGCGTGAGCAGCTCTGGGGCGGAAAAGCGCAAGCACTCGACGGCCTTCCCCGAGGCCAGTTTCCTAGAGACATCGTCGGGCCCCGTGGGCGGCCAGTATGGGGCAGCGGGCACAGCCAGCGGCGAGGGCCAGTCAGGGCAGCCCCTGGGGCCCTGCAGCTCCACGCAGCACTTGGTGGCCCTGCCGGGCGGCGCCCAACCAGTGCACTCAAGTCCGGTGTTCCCCCCATCGCAGTATCCCAACGGCTCTGCCGCCCAGCAGCCCATGCTCCCCCAGTATGGCGGCCGCAAGATTCTCGTCTGTTCTGTGGACAACTGCTACTGTTCTTCCGTGGCCAACCACGGCGGCCATCAGCCCTACCCCCGCTCCGGCCACTTCCCCTGGACAGTGCCCTCGCAGGAGTATTCACACCCGCTCCCGCCCACCCCCTCCGTCCCCCAGTCCCTTCCCGGCCTGGCGGTCAGAGACTGGCTCGATGCCTCCCAGCAGCCTGGCCACCAAGATTTCTACAGGGTGTATGGGCAGCCGTCCACCAAACACTACGTGACGAGCTAACGCCACGCGGGCAGTGAGCACCGGGGAATCTTCCCCCGCAGCCCCCGGTGGCTCGGGGATGATGCATCCAGAGACCTGCCCTTCTACCTTCCTGTCCTCCCTCCCTCCCTCCTCCATTCTCCCAAGTCTTTTCCTTTTGGATTTTGTTTTGTTTAGGGCTTGTTTTGATTTTTTTTTTTAATGAATCTCCTGGACGCGGAGGTGACAGTGGGAGCTGGCCTGGGCCGGGGCCGCAGGTGGCCCTGGAGTTGGGAAAGCGTCTACCTCAAGGCGCTGAGCTCTCTCTCTCTCTCTCTCTCACCTTTTTCCCTTCCCTCCTTCCCCTTCCCACCCCATGGCTGGAAGGAGCCTCAGCTTCCTTTATAGCCTGGCGGGGAGGGGCAGTTTCCAACTCTCCTCACTTAGTCCTGGGAGGAGGGCCCAGGTGCCCACTGGACTGCTTCTCCTCTTGGTTTTCTTTTGGGCAGTTTGATCACTGACTGAATAAGGAATGACCTGTAGATTGTGGGGCTTTTATTTTTTTTTAATTTTTTTTAAACCAAGAATGATTTTTCCTGCTTCCTTCTCACCATCCTCCCAGACGGAGTTCAAAGGCCACTTCTCAAGCAGCTTTCGGCACCTTCAGCCTCAGAATGGAATCTTAAAAGACAGGAACCCCATGTCCAGGAAAGGGGAAAAGGAACTTTGCCAATGATAGTGACCACAGCAAAAGCAAATAATAATAATATTAATAATAATAAAGAGAAATAAATAATAAAATAAGAAACCATAGCACAGCCCTTGTCGAGGTCAGCGGGAGAGGAGGGGCTGCCCGGAGTTGGGTCCTTGCCTGGGTTTTGACACAGCAACTTCCTGTAGTGAGCACTTTGTATGAATCGTGGACTTCCTGTTCTCAAGGCGCAGGTATTTATTCTGTAATCTGTCTAGAGCACACACTGAAATCCAACCTTCTAATAAACATAATGGCGCAGTCCCACTCCCTGCCTCGCCTCTTACCCCCAACCCCTCCAGGCCTGGGGTTTTCAGGCGTTGGTGTGAGGAGGGGCCTCCTCTAGAGACGGAAGCCCCAGCCTTGATTCTCTTCTGGGTTTAGTCTGTTTCAGGCCTGTGAATATCAGTTCGTTAGCCACTAACTATATCTACTCTCAGCCTTGGGTTCATTTGACAAATATTTGCTGAGGGCCTCCTAGGCCCAGCCTCCCTGCTGCATGGGCCCCGGCATCTCTTTGAGTTTCTGCCAACATGCTCTTAGCAAGGACGGACAAAGGAAAAAATACCTTTCTATGAGTCTTGCAAAGTTTACCTCCTTCACTCCACAAATATTTATTAAGCACTTGCTAAGCACCAGGCACTGTGTAGGGCCAAGGGCACAGAGCTACAGCAGTCTCTATCTTGAAATTTAGTCTAATGGAGCCTCAGCCCCCATTGATACGATGAGGGTGGGGGGCACTTGGCTCCTTTCTTCCTTTGGTGGCTTGGGCTCTGGCTCCTGCCCGTGAGCATGGAGGAAGAGAAGCCAGGAAAATCTTGAACGCTGGGAAGCATGGAGGCTGGGTGGCAAGGTGAAAAAGACATCCTACCCTCATCCCCTTTGGCAGAGCTTCTCAAAGTTCGGTGTGTCAGGAGCTTGTTAAAAAGAGCTGATTCCTGGGGCCCTACATGGACTCAGTGGGAATCACTGAGGGCAACCTGCTTTTGTTTTGTTTCTGCCCAGGCATGCTTGATCTTAGTTCCCTAGACCAGGAATCAAACTGAACAGGGATTGAACTCTGCCCTTGGCAGTGGAAGTGCAGAGTCCTAACCAGACCATCAGGGGATTCCCAAGAATCACATTTTTTAACTTCCTGGTAATTCTGACACATTCTGGGGTTTGAGGAGTGCTGCCACGAGGGACTGGCCAGGGACCTGCTCGTCAGACGTATGGGTAGGGTGGAAGGATGGGCAGGGCACACCAAGCCCTCTTGGGGAAGGAGCCAGGTGAGGGTGGGTGGGGGCTAATTTTTAAAAATTATTTTTAATTGAAGATAATTGCTTTACAATATTGGGGGCTGGGGCTGATCCTTTAAAAGATCTCTGGTTTGTTGCCTAACACTTGGCATAGATCTGCTTATGTGTAAAGTAGAAGGGGCAACCTTTCCTGGGTGCCTTGTTCTCTCCCCTTGTCTGGGTGGAATCAGGGCCTGAACGCCTCCCACCCCAGAAAGGCTAGAGCAAGACAGGGAGCTAGGGGTAAGTCCTTCGCCAGGGGTTCAAACTTAACCGACAGCTAGTCACCCCTCTTCTCAGGAAAAGGATGCAAGTTGAAGGGCGTCGTCTGTCCCTGTCTCCCAGGGGCTGGCAGACCAAAGTCTTGGTCTTACTAAGTTCCTCCATCCTCCTATCCTATGGGGTAGAAAATGACTCAGTGTGCAGTGGGTGGACCTTGATCACCGCTCCCTCTTCCCCACTTTGGCAAGGAGCCAGAGCCAGGAGCGCAGGATGACAACAGCTGGCCTGCCCCCTTCTCTTCTGCACCTGTTTGGGACTATTGAGGGGAGGCAGATGGCTGGAGCCTGTACAGTGCTCCTCCAACCCAGGGTGGAAGGATGCCTGGGGGCAGGTGCTGCTGGACAGACAGACATTTAACTCTACTCACATCTGCTCCCGTCTCACTGTCACTTTCTGTCGCTTTCTCCGGTTGTCAGGAACCCTGGGACATTTTTTGTGCCAGGAGTTGGGAGCCAAGACGGAAAGCTGCCCGATTTCTTTCCCACATGGCCTAGTTTTGGTTTAGGGGATGGAAGAGGTTCTTTCTCCATGTACATCAGTGAGACTGGGATATGGAGGGGAGACTCTGGTGGGAGTGGGAGTGTCTTGAACCCCACCAGGCCCCACCTCTGAAAGCCCACCCCAGCAAACAGACACCCAGGCACACGGTGTAGGCAGCCAAGCAACTAACTGTGTGTAGTATGGCCAGGGGTGCCTGGGCAGCCAGGGAGCCCGGGAGAGGCTAACCCCATCCAGCTGTCCCCAGCTACCCAGCTGTCCCTGGCTTTGTCGGAGCAGCTGTCACCCACCTCCAAAAGTGTCAGAGGAGGGGCAGAGGAGGCCAGGAGAGCTGGAGCTGCCCCAGGAACGGGGCCGGGGAGAGGAGGTGTGGGGGGCCTTTCTCACTCTACACACTCGAGACACCCCCACCCCCACCCCCGCACCCACAGGCACGCCCTGTGCCTCCCTCCGCGAAGCGCTCAGTCTCAGAGACACTGGCTCTGCGCCCCCCACCCCGCCCAAGCAGTGTCTTCCCGCCCTCCCCAGGGAGGCCACCGCTCCTCCCCTTTCCGGGCAGGGCAGGGCAGGGCAGGGTGTCAGGAGCGGAGCTCTTCTCCCCCACCCCACTGATGGCTCCTGTGGGCCAGATGTGCGGAGCCCGCAGGGAGGCGACCGCCGGGGGGTTTCCTCCGCCCGCCACCCCCGCGGGCCCGGGCTCTTTCATGTCGCTGCCCTCCCTGGTCCCAGCCCCGGAGCAGAGCAGCTGCGCCCCGCTCTCCGCCCCCAGCCTCTCTCCCAGCTGTCTTTGGGGTGGGGCCGGGCAGCTGGGGAACAGCTGCAAGGCGTGGGGTGGGGGTGGGGGTGGGGGGGTTCGAGTGCCCTCCCGCAAGAGCCGGAAACAGTCTCCTTGCCCTGGCCGGGTGCAGGGGGAGGGTAAGGCCTGAGGGATGGTCGGCCCTTGCGCCTCCCCCCCCCCCCCCCCCCCCCCCCCCGCCTCCCCAGCGCATCTGGCCCGGCCTGCTGAGTGCGGGGCAGACCCCAGATCAAAGCCCCCTCCGGGCTTCAAAGGGTACTCTGGGGGCGGGAGAGGAGGGTGGAGCAGTGGGGGAACACCCTGAATGGGGAGGCCACTGATTCAGTGCCCCAGGGCCCTCTCTGGAGGCTGAGACCCTAAGTTCTAACCTCCTTTCTGGGTTCTTCTAGGTGCTGTTCACATACACCCACTCCACCATGCCCTTTCCTCAGACTCCTTCATCTGCTCCCATATGAGGGTGGGGGAGAACCCGAGAACACTTTCAGGATCAGACCTGGCCCCCTGGGGGATTTCCTGCCCCATCCCATCTCCTCCTTCTGTAGATTGGTTGTGTGGTGCTGGGAGGTCCAGGAGATGCCCTTCCCAGCCTAGTGCTCCAGGCCTACAAGCAAAGGGTGCTGTGGGGTAAAAGGGAGGAGGAAAAATGATTCCTGGACATCCCTGGACAGACCCACCACACTTAACCCCTCTCCTATATCAAGGTTCTCCCTGTAGGCTTTTGGAAAACTCTTCCTTGGAGGGGCTTTAGCAACAGTGGTCTCTAGAACCTAGGATCTTGGTACTGATTCTAGAACTCTCTGAATCCAGTTTTTTTCAGTTAAAGAGGCAAGGAAGGAAATAGAGGACACTCTTCGGTTGCCCCCTCCCTTTCCTCTGCTAGAGTGCTGAGGCAAGAGCCTGGGATTTGGGGCTAAGATTCTGGAAACTTCGTTAGAGGCTGCAAGGAATGGGAAACGGATCAGTATTAGGAGGCAGAGGCAGCTGGGGCTGGGGGCTTCTGTGAGAAGTGAGAGGCCCCCATAAGGGGGCCCGGCCTTCAGGATACCAGCTTCTTCCTCCAGCATCTGTCTTCCTCCAACACTCTGCCCCACCCACCTGCCCTCCAAAGTCTTTCTTCCCTTCCAGGGCAGGATGTATTCACTCTCTGCTTGAATTCCTCCAGGGACAGAGAACTCACAACCTCGAGACACCCCTTCCATGATGAAAGCTCTTACAAAGAACAAACAAATCTGGTGGCTAGAGCTTTGGCCTCTACCACATTCTCCAGTGTATGAGAACCACATCCCCTGAGTGAGGAAGGCCTTTACAAGCCCAGGGCTTCTTCCCTAAAATTCCCTGTCCCTGGCATTTATGATGCTGGGACTTGCCAAGGGACTTCTGCACTGGGAGGCTGGATGTTTCCTCCACAGGCGACCAGTTTTCCTTAATTGCTGTGTGGTTAATTCCTCTCAACTGCAGCAAACTGGGTTATTTATGACTTCTCTTTGCACTTAGATCTTCAATAATTGGGTCTTTTTTGAGAGAGAACCCATCTGCTCAATGCCATAGGTTATTTCTCATGGTTTACATTGAGGCAAGAAGAGGGTAATGTGTGGGGTGGGGTGCAGCGTAGTTTGCAACAGCCTGTAGAATGGGGTCTAGAGGTGGTATAGGCAACATCTCAGAATTGCAGATAAGAAGTGGAATGAGGGAGCAGGCTCCCAAGAACCATGCCGTAAGGGCAGTGTAGACTTCTACCCCACTTGAAAAAAAAATGGCAGTGAGTCACTTGACATATGGGTGTCCTGGCTGCCAGGCTGTGAGTTGAATATTGTCCTCAGACACTCTCCATGTGTGTGCCTGCTGCAGGGCACTGAGCAAATGGGCAGCTCATGGCTTAATGCATAGGGAGTCTCCCTCCACACCAAATGCCATCCCTGCCCAGCTGCAGCTCCCTGAGCCCCACCTGTCAGGTCATCAGCTTAGAGTCAGTCCTCCAGCAGCCCATGTGGTTCCGTGCCCCAGTAACTGCTCTTCTCTCTGCCTGGATTTCGTGTCCAGCCTCAGAGTCTCACCTTCTCTGTGCATTCCTCCCCACCTCTCTAGAGGGGGTATGAAGAATAATGAAAGATGTGTGTGAGATCCAAGATGGGGCCGGTATAGGCCGCTTTCTAGCATTGATAGTTATCACGATGTTCAAGTTCCTTTGGGCCAACCACACTCCCATGCACTTAGCACTCTCACTTGGTATTCTAACTCATTGTGATTTATGGGTCAGGTTAGAGGCTGCATAGCTTATGTGTCCGAGTAGCCTGTGCGTCCCTGGAGGACGTGAAATATTAGTCATCTTTGACTTTTCAGAGCCTAAGAAACAGTGCCTGTTTCATTCATTCACTCATTCATTTATTAACTAATAATTATTGCTATCCTTCTAATATCGGCCTCTATTCCAATGCTGGGGATACACTGGTGAATGGAATACACAAACTCCACTCTCTTGGAGTTAATAACTTAGTGGGAAAGAGCTGACAAACAGGAAGTCAGTAGAGGGACTTCCCTTGTGGTCCAGTGGCTGAGACTCTATGCTCCCAGTGCAGGGGGTCTGGCTTCAATCCCTGGTTGGGGAACTAGATCCTGCATGCTGCAACTAAGTGTTCGCATGCCACAACTAAAGATCCCATGTGCCTCAACTAAGACCCGGAGCAGCCAAATCAATTAATAAATATTTTTTAAAAAGAAATCAACAACTGTGAGTTGGTGATAAGTACCAAGAAGGGAAGTAAAGCAGGGACAGGGCTTGTCAGTAGGAGTAAGGAGGTATGGCAATTCTTATATATGTAGGTGGTTGGGGAAGGCTTTGCTGAGAAGGTGATATTGAGTGGAGATCTTAAGAATGTGAGGAGGCAAGATCTGGGGATATTTGGAGCAAGAGAGTCCCAGGTGGAGGGAACAACCACAAAGGCTAAAGGCAGAAGATGCTTGTTTCAGAAAGAGCAAGGAGCGAGTGACTGGAAAGGTGGGTGAGGGGCAGAGCAGGGAGTGATGAGGTCAGGAAGGCATGAGTGAACGGGGGGCGGTGACAGGGGGGCCAGGACATGAAGCACTGTAGGTGCTCTGCCTCCACTCAAAAGATATCTGCTGAATGAATGAATGATGGATTAATGAATGAACATTGAACGCCTGGGCCGTCGGGGCTCTGAATGTTTCCCAAGGGAGCCCTGTGGGCTAGAGGCTGTCAGGCCTTCATCCTGGGGAGGCGGGACCTGAATTGTGCCCTAAAGGAGGGGTGAGCAAAACAGAAGAGAAGACAGACATCCATGAGAGGAGGTCTCTATGAACAGAGGTGGGGAGATGAGTCCCTGTCAGGGGGCAGCGGGGACTGCTCATCCGGAGCTCAGGGTGTGTGTGATTGACAGGTCGATAAAAAAGGATTTGAGGTCAGACTAGAGGGGCCTCCAACGATAGGATAAAGCTTGACCTTGCGTGTCCCAGAGCAGTGGGACCTCCACAGGCATCTGAACAGAGGAACTGAGTGTTAGAACAATGGCTCTTCTGAGCTGTAAGGGGTGAGCGGCCAGGCAGTGGGGGCAAGGGGACCAACTAGGAGGCAGTGGGAGGTCCAAAGGAGCAAGGAGGTGGGGGGTGGCGGTCAGGGTGCAGGTTGCCCCAGCCTGAAGAGCAGGAAGGACCGTGGCTGGACCTCTGGGTCCCGCTGCTCAGGCTGAGAGATGGAAGCCGGGGTCAGGCCTGCACCTTCCCTGCCAGCCATGGGCCCCAGAGTCAGCAGAAAACCCCGGCCTTGGGGAGGAGGCGGCGGCGCAGAGCCAGAAGCTGCTGAGGGAGCGCTGGCAGCAAGATGCCATTGTACGTCCGCAATCAAGATACTTCAGAGGAAATCAAAAGCACCAACTGGGGAAATGATGTGTGCACGCTCTTGCTTTCTCTCTCTCTCAAGCACACACACAAACTTCTGCCTTCAAAATGGGTCAAGTGAAGGCTGTGGGCGTGGGCTGGGGAGGGGGGGCTGGCAGGAGAGGAGGCCCAGGGCCCCGAGCAGCCTGAGCGCTCGTGCCCACTCACCCTCCTGGCATCAGGGTTGGCAGCAGCTGTGGGGTGGGGTGGGACGTGAGGATAAATATACACCTCCCCATGCATATGGATAATGCACACAGCTGCCCTGCCTGCTTTGCGCTCATTAGGACCAACTGTTTCAGGAGCGGTGGCAGGCGGGCGGGAGGGGGTGATGTGCCCATTCACAGGCTGGGGGTAGGGGGGCTGCTTGCAGCTGTGCAGACACCTCCCCCTGCCTGGATCAGCATCCCAGCCCCTGAATTGCCCTGTCCTCCCTCTTTTCCTTCCTCCCAACCTGCTGCTCTCCAGATCTGAGGGTCTCAGGGTGGGAAGGGGGCCTGGGGAGTGAGTCAGAAGGAAACCCAGGCTGCACCCCCACCAGAGCTGGGGAAGTTGAGGGGATGGTTGGATTATATGGCATCCTCTGGCCCCAGGACGGGCTGCTGCTTGCACACCCAAGCTCCTTATCTGTTTCTCTCCCAATGCTATCTGTAGCATCCAGGCAGGAAAACTGCTTCGACCCTGTCATCTGGAGGCTCCGGGAAAGCCTCGTTCATATTTGAAAGCCCAGACCAGGCTTGCTCTGTGGCCCCAGACAAAATCAGAGGGGCTTGGGAGTGATGGTGCGATGGCACAGGCTTCTGCCTTCTCAGCAGCAGTGCAGGCTGGTGGGCTCCAGTTCACCAGAGCAGGTCGCCCAGGAGAGACTGGGGACTGCATTGGTGATGTGACTGTTGAGAGCCTGGCCCAGGGAGATGTCTGGTTGATGTAACAAGTATGACTGGCCCTAGCTGAGGGGTCCTCAGCCAGTGCCAAGACTTGCACCCTGGTGGGGTCAGGGGGGCATCCTTTCCCATATGGGTGTGCGGAGGCTGTGTGCCAGCCTTGTCCAGTCTCAGGAACTTGCATTCCCATTCTGTTAACAAGACAAAAGATAGGGGCAGGCAGTGTCTGTGTGTGACTCTGCAGTCGGCCCTTTTTCTTGCCCTCCAGTGATCTAAGTGGGCTCCGGGGACATCTACCACTTTGCTGCAGCCCGTCTCTCCTCCTTTGGGCCAGGGCACTGGGTGGGGGCTGCAGAACCCTGGGGGAGAATGGAGGTCCAAAGGGTCACAGCCTCCCCAGCCTTTTTCCTTTGTTGTCAGGGCGGGGCCTGGCCACCGCCTGCCCCCTCTGCTGGTGGCCTCCAGAGCAGCAGCCACCTCTGGGCTCTGAAATTTCCTGTGGATCTTTAAGGGGTGGGTGGCAAAGTGAGAGAAAGAGAGGCCCGGCCTGGTTTCCTGGAGCCCCGCTCCCCACTGTTCCCAGCTCTGTGTTTAGTCAAGAAGGCACCCTGGGGAAAAATGGTCTTTCTTGTTAAAGGGAACCCCAGCTAAACCATTAGCTAGTTGTGTGATTCTAGGCCAGTGACTTAAGCTCTGAGAGCCTTGGTTTCCTCAACTGGAAGAGAAGGGTAGGAATGGTTACCCTGTGGGGCTACAGAAGGATCCAATCAGTGAATGACTAACAGGAGGAGTCATTTGCTGATCTAAATGGTGGTTCTGCCCTCAACTCTTGCAGCTCTCAGCTTCAGGAATCCACCTGAGTTCTCCTGCAAACCTTGTCCTTCCTTGACTCAGCTTGCTCTCTGCCTTTCTGTCATTAATATTTCTTGACTGAAGGCTTTTTGTCCCTGGGACACAGCTATTCACTCTGGGAAAAGAAACCTCTCCCTGCTCCTTTGTGCAGGAGCCCTCAGCTCCTTTTCTGAGTTCAGAAGCCAAAAGGGGAAAAGGTTTCATGAGGCAGGCTTGGGGCCCAGCAAACAAGCCCAGGTGAAAATCATGACCCTGCCCCATTCTCCTGGTGTGATCTTGAGCAAGTAAATCCAATTCTGTGAGCCCTATCCTCAAACTGAGTGATAACACCTACAGTTATTAATGTTGTTGCAAGGATTAAATGAATGATAACAGCCAACTGCCTGGTACAAGTGGATGCCCTGGTCTGACCCTGCAGGGGCCTGGTTGTTGGCTGTATTACCACATGCTCGTGTCTGTCTGGTTCCGGATACACACACACACACACACACACACACACACACACACGACACAGGACACAGTGCTGGACCAGCAGATTTACTGCAGGGAACAGGAGCTCTCTTCCCCTCCTCCCTGCCCGACTCTCATGCTGCAGCTTCTCCGTGTTCTGCAGGGTTGGAAAAGGAAATTACTGAACAGATTGCAATTAAGGGGGAGGTGGGGGGGAGAGAGAGACAGAGGCCCTGAAATGCAGCTTGACTGAGCGCTAAACTGTTTTTGCCCGGAGCCAATCAGGAGCCACTGACAAGAGCCTGTTCCCACTTACAAATCTAATTGCAGGAGGTGGGGCTAGGGTGGCCCAGGGAGCCCCCTGGAGAGAGGAGGGGGCTGCCAGCACCTCTGGGAAGGCTGCTGGCCCTCACAACATGTGGGGGACAGTGTGGAGGGCAGAGGTTCTTGGAGGCCTGGGAAGGCCTAGACTCCAGAATTTTTGCCTGTTATTATAATAGCTACCCATGATTTAGTACCTACTCTGCACCAGACATTCATAACTTCATGTAGTTTCTTGGAGACTCAACAAGGTAGGTGATTACCTCATTTTACAGGAAGAAACTGAGGTACAGTGTTCCTACTATGTGCTAGCTATTGCCTTCTATCTACATCTATTGCCATTATATCTTTTTTCAATCTACCAGTTTTGTCCCATTTCACAGATGAAGAGGCAGGACTCCAAGAAAGGAAGCAACTTGCCTAAGATCACAGAGCTGATTTATGGATGGGCAAGGATAGACTTTTGGGTCTGAGTCCAGGGAACACAGTTTAATTGTATCTCACTGTCACTGTATTTAGCCAGGCATTCTGGGTAGAATTGTCAGATTTAGCAAAACAACACAATCAAAACTGGGATGGCCAGTTAAATGTGAATTTCAGGTAAACAACTTTTTTTACGAGTATTATGTCTCAAATTGTGCATGGGATGTACTTTTCTTTGAGGGGGGGATGTACTTATATTCAAAATGATTCTTTGTTTATTTGCAATTCAAGTTTAACTGAGTGTCCTGCCAGTTATCTGGCAACACTAGACTTTCTCTCTCTCCCTGCCTCCAGCTCCCCTCTATTTTGCCAACAGCTTGCCTTTAAAGGCCAGCCCTTGGGACCAGCCAGGCTGGTATGTCTCTAGGCTGCTGAAGTGAGGCTGCTGGAGGGGAAGACAAGCTCTTCTCCAGAGGGCAGAGCTCTGGACCGGAGCCCACTCTGCCTCCTACTGTGTGATTTTGGGCAAGTCTACTCCCCTCTCTGAATCCTGTCTAAAAGGAAATAGTATTAGGTAATTGCCAGTATCCTTGCAGCCCCATTTTTCCTAATTTCTCCCCTTTTTACTGTCTGTGCAAAGGACAGTACCAAAAAAATCTGATTGTGCTGCCATAGGGACAGAGGACAACAACAGTTGGGACAGGGGACCCCCCCCACCCCCAGCCCCCCGGCCAGCAGCACTGATCAGAGAAGACCCCTGGTGTGGACTTGGAAGGCTGGGGGCTGAGACAATGAGCCATTATTGTGTTACTGTCTTTGTCCTGGGGGGGGTGGTGGCAGCTTGCCGCTGCCTTCAGACCTGGGTTCCCGGCCCACTGGCACTAATGACTCTGTGATCTTGGGCAAATGCTTTAACCCAGGCCAGCGCCTCATTTTCCTTAGCTGTAAAGTGGGACTAACGCTGCCCTATGATGTCAATGAAGGGTCTGCTATGTGAGAAGGGCTTAATAAAGGGTTATGTTTATTGGTGGTGGCGGCGTTCGTGTCACCCCCTCCTGTAGAAAGCACCTTGAGAGATGCTGACCTCTGAAAGGACGAGCTCACTGCAGCCCTCTCCCCTTCTAGCAAAGGACACGACGCTTTCCAGGCTGCCTTCGTTTCAGCTAAATTTTATTTGTCGGATTTTTGACAGACGTCTAAATTATACATTGAATTTTCCACATGACCAAATACCACGTCCCTTCCTTTGATTATCATTTTCAAAAGAGACTTAAAAAAAAAAAAGAACTTTTCGATGGAGCAGACTGAACCCTGAAACCACATGGAGTGCAGAGCTAAAAATAAAAGGAAGTAAGAACTGGCCCCTGAGAAGGAAAGAGAAATCAAAGCAAACTCTGACGGGAATCAAGGGACGAGTCCTGGCGAGGGTGACATGGTGTCACCCCCGGGCCAGGCCGGATAAGGAGCGGCCGACAGCGAGGGTGGGGCCCAGAGTGGCGCAAAAATAGCCACGGCTTTAGCCCAGAGGGGAATAAAAGAAATTTGTTAAAAGCCAGGAGAGAGAGAAGTGAGCGGGAGGGAGGGAGGGGGCAGGACCGCGTCCTTCCCGCAGTTTGGGAGCTGCGGACCTTAACCCTGGCACATCTCTACCCGCCAGCGTAATCGCTGACTTTCAGCTGTGCGCCGACATGTTCCCCAGCTCAGCCCACATCAATGACACCCTTGTTTCCATAGTAACCAAGGGAGAGTGAAGGGGAAAGGGTGTGCTGCCCTGGGCTCGGGGAAGCCAGCCAGAAGGAGCCGCACGGAGGAGGTTGGGAGGAGGGGAGGGGAAGGAGTTTTTCCCACAGCTGGTCTGAGCACACATCCTGGGGCCCCTGTCCCAGGCCTGGCCTGCCCTCTGGCCTCCACCCCTCTCCCCTCCCTCTGCACATTCAGATGCAGTCGTGCCCAAAGCCACTCACCACTGAGACTCCCTGGGAGTGGAAAGACCCAGCATCCCCCTTCTATCTTACAGTTCTGTCCTTCACGGTAGGGGGCCAGGGGCGGGGCGGGGGCGCGTAGGGAGAGAGGAAAGGGAACTTTAGAAGCATTTTGTTTTTACAAATGCGAGCTTTCAAACTGCGATTTTCAGGCTCCTCTCATCTACCCTGTGAGCCCCGGGAGGGTTTGGTAGGGCTCAGAGGGAAGATGAAAGCCTGTGACATCCACAATGTCTCTGTGTCTTTAGCTGAAAAGCAAAGCTGAACATTCACAGAGGCTGTTATCAGACAAGGCAAGTGGCTTCTGCCTGCTGGCCGAGGCCCTGGGCGGGGGCCCCTTTCAAACAGTTCCCTAAGTTGGTGGTAAAAGGACAAAAATATTTCACAGACCATCCACTGCTAAAGTCCAAGTTCCACATTGCTGTGTTCGCAAATCGCAGACCTCAAAGCAGGCATTTTGCCCCTCAGATAACATCCGTGCTGCACTATTCAGAGGGAAAAAACATTTTCACGTGCTAGAGCCATATTTGCAGCCAGATAGAAGGGGGATTTCTGGTCCCTTGTAATTCTGTTTTGCCTCCTTTCAAAGGCATCTGGGAAAGTCAGACAAGCCTAAGGAGGCTGCAGGGAGCAGCAAGCTCACAGTGGTTTAAAAACCCTCACCTTTTGTTTTGCAAGTTCTCACAGGTCTGTCCACAGCCACCCCAGGGCACCTTTTCATGTCTGGCCTTGTTAATGACTTTCACCCCAGACCGCCTTTGAAGCGGGCCATGCCTCAGCCTCATGGGCACAACTTGGTCCAGAAAGGCTGGGAACTGAGGGCCAGGGGCCGGAGCAAACCCTGCTCACATGCCTTGGTGGGTTTGGGAAGGGCTGCCTCCCAGGATGTGAAAAGCAGCTTACCTGGGACCCATCAGCCACTGGATAGTCTTTTATTCATTCTCTGAAAACCCTGGAGGCCAGGCACCAGAACAGAGCTCGGTTGGGAAGCCACCTTCCCTTGTCTGAAGCTGGGGACTTCTTATGGCTCAAAGAAACAAGCTCTTTTTGCAACATGGGGCAGGAGAAAGCTCCTGCCATTCCTCCCCGATCAATCAACAGAGGACACATTTTGCTGGAGAGAGGCTGAGGGGACCAGAACCTGGGGTGACTCTGGCTTCTCTGGGCAAGCCTCCCCAACCCTACCCAACCAAGCTCCTCCCGGCAGCAAGCGCTCTCCACCCGTGAGCAGCCCACACCACCAAGTTGCCAGCACTGTAAAAATTGATCTCTTCTGAAGATCAATCTGCCTGGCTTTTCTCAGTGGAGCAGGTTCATGGTAAAGGTGCATTTATTTTTAAAATCTGATAGCAGCGGCCTATTGTGATCATTTAAACATAGAATTCTTTGAGCTTTAGAAATCCCTTCTATGGGACGGCCGTGGAGAAGGCAGCTAATCTCAGAGTCGGCTGCTCACTGCTCCACTGAACTGGAGAAAGCCTGTTTACGCTAGCCTGAGCCCTCCATGTGAGGGCTTTTTAAAGACCTTGTAATTTTTCTGGAATTAAACCTCCCACCTCTCCTTACATTCCAGATGTCATTACAGTCAAAAGTGGTAAGAATTTGCTTCCCTGTGTGGCTGGCTGGGGGGTTGGGGACGGGGTATATTTCTGTGGTGACTTGTCTGCAAGAAAGGCTTTTTTTCCCCTTTTCCAAAGGGTGAGGATTACATAGTCTCTTACCTGCATGACAAGATGGTTTAATCATCGGCTGTTCCTCACCTCCCCCTCCTCTCCCTGGCCCCTGCAGCTTCCCACCCAGATAGGCTGCAGCCCTGGTAATGGGTGATGGTAGAAATCACTGACCAGCATGAGCAAACACTATCTTGGCTTCAAAACCACGGGGAAAAGTAAGGACAGGTCAGGAAATAAGTGACCACAGCCTAAGCTGCTGCTCCTCTTCCTCTCTCCCCCACTGTTTTTTTTTTTTTTTTAAAGAAAAAAGCCCACTGGAATTGTCTAAACTGCAATACAATCTCTTGCTCATTTAAAAGATCTCATTTTCTAATCATGTGCTTTGAGACATTTAATACTATTTCAATTATGCAGAGGAAATAATATAATTCCTTTATTTGAAAAATGATACTGAACCTCAGAGATCAGTTAAATCTACGGCTGGAATGGGGATTCTTTTTAAATGGTGTTGCTCCTTCTCTTCATACAGCTGTAGCTGTACACAGATGGAAAAACATTTGGTCAGAAAGCAGCAAATTAGTGTTTTTCAGGACAGAATTCAGCTCCCGCAGCTCCCACATCTCCATTCGTCGAGATTTTATTTCTTCTTTGGGTTGACATGTTTGCAGACCCAGTTCATGCCGTCCTTTGAGGGAAATGGGTAGAGAGGCAGTGTTAGTTGTGAGAAAGGCACCACACACTCCAGCCCTCGAGGGGAAAGAGGGTCCCGGGTCCGCCCTCCACAACCAAGGGCTCAATGGTGCTTGCCTGCCCCAGGGGCCCACCTGGGTGACCAGGGACAGTGATCTCCTAGGGAGGAGTGGGGAGGCCTCTGAGAGCTTGAAGGGAAATGGGAGGGGGAGTGTCAAGAGCCTGAACTTGAGATGGGTCCTCAGGAACTCCCTCTGAAAAAATAAACACATCTGCCTGGATCCCAGGCCTGATTGAGGAGCTATCAGGACAGATTCCAGCCATTTTTGGCTTTTTCTAAAAGCTGACCTTTGCTAGGGCATTAAATTCAATAATAAGCCACCCTTCTGGTGCCCCGGTGTGTTTACAGTGTGACAGTGTACACTTAGGCTAAATTAAATTTCTTTTTGGAAAAACAAACCAACTGCAGTGTGCGTTACTAGACACACACTGGGGCAATGTGTATTCATTTTTCTCTGTGCAGCACCAGGGAAGGTTTAAAGGGGCCTGGCCTGGTTCTTGCAGCTTTAAGCAGTACCAAGCAGAGGGACTGGGGAGAAGGTTCCCTTAAAGGCACAGTAACCTTGAACGTGTCCTCTCTTAGAAGGCTGGAGGAAGACAGAGGTAAAATCCACACAATGTCTACACACAGCCACCTGGCAGGTGGCGTATCTTGTGGATGCCAAGCCCACCAGAGATGACCTCTTTTTCAACCCCCTTAGGAGCCATCCCTGAACGCTCTTTCCCCAGAGTCTCTGTGACCCCCGGAGTTGTGTGGAATTCTCAGAAGCCCAAAACAAAATCAAAGGAGGCTCCTGCAAGGCACCCCCCTGTTTCTGTCACACATGGACATCTCAGGGCATACATGACATTCAGAGCCCTGCATTTCCTGTGACCAGGGAGCTAGTCGTTGAACCTGAACAGCTGAGACAGCTTAAAGTAATAAATATCAGCTGACACCCTTGGCCATTCGGAGCATTAATCCCATAAACAATACATCACGGCAAAACAACCAGCAGGCATCCTATCTCCTGGCTAATCTGACCATAACCTGAATTTACAGTGATTAAAACTCCGCCAGTTGCCATCAGAGCACTTGGTTGGGAGAAGCAGAATATCTGATGGCTGTCCCAGAGCAGACCTTAGAGGAGGCTGGCCATGGCCCACTGCACAAAACCACACAGAGGTGGACAGCACCTGGCAGCGGCGGGGACTGGGGTTTGCGGGGGGATGGCGAGGTGAGAGAAGGTGGACTCCGATTACAACTGGGTTAGCTGCTTACTCTGAAAGGCTGAGGCCAATTTTAAGACCATTTTTATGAAAAGGATTAATTTAAAGAGAAGGATGTTTAATTTTAGGAGCTAATTGGTTTCCAGGAAAAAAAAAAAAGATCACCTGCCAGGAGACAAAAAAGATTTTACAAATAAAAGAGGGATGAATAAGATAACCATCTTCTCTTTGCCTTAGAAGGTGAATAGCTCAGCACTTACGTGGCACTTTCCATCTTTAGGAACCCGCACAAACACCATCAAAGGTGCGTACCTCAATATTTCCTGCTCTATACAGAGTTGCACTATTTTATCAAATCATCTTCTTAGAGAAATCAAGAGCAGGGTTCCCACTGAATACTGTCTTCCCTCTTGTTTTATGGCTGATTATAGACGGGGCTGGGCTTCTTTTATTGTATGTAACTCAACATGAATGCACTCAAAGAGATAGGAAAAATATTTACTCAGCTGCAGGAACCCCAGGCAGAATGTGGAGGGTGAGGGGCAGCCTTCTACTGGGCATCTGTTACGGAGGCCGAGGGGATTTAAATAGGGAGCCTTGCTGAGGGGCAGTGTCCTCCAGATGTGCGTGTGAGCGCCCAGTCCTGCCAGCAGAGGGCGCTCAGAGGTCGCCCCCCCCCCCGCCCCCCGCCCCCCGCCCCCCGCCCCCAGCTGACCTACTGGCCCCAGGGGGCTCCATAGCTGCTGCCTGCAACCTCCAGTGTGGGAAGCTGGGGAGACTTAACTCTGCTCTGGCTCGGGAAGGCTGCCCCATCTAAAGTGTTTGGAGGCTGGAGGTTTGTGCCTTTCCTGTTACTGCCCAGAGGAGAACCTGAACTGGAGCTGGGAGGTGTCAGGGAGGCAACAGTCAACAAGGATGTTACCTCTAAGGTGCCCACTGGCAAGGAAAGATTCCCGAGGGGAGGGTCCATGCCAGACTGGCTTGGGGTGGTGTTTACAGAACTTCACGTGATGGCTGGCCTGCTTGCCTGCTAAGTTACTTCAGTCGTGTGCAACTCTTTGCAACCCTATGGACCATAGCCTGTCAGGCTCCTCTGTCCATGGGATTCTCCAGACTTCTCCAGTATTCTCCAAGAATACTGGAATGGGTTGCCATGGTCCTCCTCCAGGGGATCTTCCCAACCCAGCAGCAGACACTTAATTGATATCTTTTAATCCCTGTAACAACCCTGTGAAGTAGGTACTTAGGGATGAGGAAATGGGGGCACAGAAGAATGCGTGGCAAAGGCGGGCCGTGAACCCAGGTAATTTAGTTCCAGTGCCCGCGCTAGCGCACCACTGACCATTTCTCAATGACTGTGGGCAAGTGCCAGGGGAGGAGCTCTGTCTCAGGCTTAGGGAGAAGCTGCGCTTACCCTCAAGTTGGCAGAGGGAGCAACTGCAGTTTTTTTTCTTATGACTTTCAGCTGAACACAGGGGTATGAGATGGAACAGCCCCAGACAAGCACCCGGCATGGCTCTGCTGCAGCTCTGAAGGTGCCAGAGGCTGGCCACTCACCTCTCAAGATTCCTAGGCTGCCAGGTTCTGATACTTGTGGACTCCTGCATTTTTATCTCGCAGCATGATCCCAACATATTAACTCTCTGCAAGCCTGCCATCTCCAGCGGAATCTCTCTCTTTAGAGACAACATCATTGCAAGAGGAGGAACCTTAAATCAGCAGCCGCATCACTCTGGCCTTAATTTAACAAGGCTTTGATTTTCTTTTAAACAGATGACTGAGAAAAAGGTGATCGTTTACCTGAAGCAGGATATTGCTCTGCTTCCAAAGAAGGAAATGAACTCGTAGCTTTGTTTAAGGGTTGAAACTTTACTGTCAACTGGTTTGACCAAATTTCTGCAAACTGGATCTCCCTCACAGGGCTGACCATCTCATGGTATAGTCCTCCCTTTTTGCCTCCACTGCACCTCCCCTCCGACCAACCTTGCTGAAACTGAATTTGAATTGATTGGCTTCAATTCAATACTAGAGACTAAGGAGAGACACTGAACCTCAAATACTGAGCTTTGTCTGGCCTCTTGCAGAGGAAATAACTTCTACCATGTCATGGGATTATTCCCTACTAACCACTGGGAAAAATGGAAGGTGGCCCCTCACCACATGGGTAGAAACCTACTTGATCACAGATCTCTCCGTTTCGGGATTAAAGGCATGATGCCCTTTCTATGGGAAGAGTGCACCCTTCATACTCTGATCTCTCTGCAATGCATCCGTCACTGCTCAGTGGTAGGAAGGAAGCAGTGGCAGCCATGGTCGGGTGGGTCTGGTTGTTTAACGCCACGAGGACTACACCGTCACATCAGTAATTGCTCAGGCCCGTGCTGAGCAATGCAGCCTATTCCTTTGTGCCACTGGGCCCCCAGGGTCAAGGAACAGCTGGAGGCAGCATACATAAAATATTGCTTGCTATTAATACTTTTTCTGGTGGCAAAAGGCACTGCCCCAGAGAGGTAGCAAAATTGCATGGCCCAAGCTTGCTTTCCTAGTCTACAAAGAGGGTTGAAAATTTAAAAATAAACCTGAGGTCTGACTTGCAGATAAGCAGTTCCATTCACCCTGGGAGTAAAAAATAACTGAACCAGGCCTAGAAAGAAGTTGTAAATGTTATTTTAAAAAAAATACTGAAATTCTTTTGGCATATTAAGGAAAAGGCTCCCTCGGATCAAGGAAAAAGAAACAAAAACAAGAACCTGGGCTAGTGAATGTTTAGAGTTCATCTGCGAGGCACTCTGAAGGACAGCTCACACGTCAGGACTCAGATGGCTAGAGGCCACCTTCACTTTCTGTGAAGGTGAGAGCTCTGTGAGCCAGATTACGGCTCCTGCTTGGAGAAGGAAGACAGGGCATGTGGGAGCGATGTGAAAAGAAGGTATGAAAAAAAAAAAAAAAAAGAAAAGAAGGTATGGACGTGAGGTGGGGGCATGGAGAGCGATACCCAGGAGGACCTTCTGCTAGCTTGAAGCTACTGGTGTAGGCAGATCTCTGTTATGAGTAAGGTTAGAGCCCAGGTTGAAAGTGCTGATCTCTGCTTTGAAAGGAAATTCTAAAGCAGTATAATTTTAATTACACACACATACACACACACACACACACACAATGTTCTGGGGAGGCAATGTCTTCAAACACCTGAAACTACCACTGCCAGAGAGAGCTGTGGTTTGGGATTCACATTCAGGTCTGCAGGTGGAAGAGGGACTGATTTCTCTACACCTTTCTCTGGCTCTCAGCCAGATCCTTTGTTCACTATTTTCCAGACACCCAGGGAAAAGCAGAGAAGACCCAGGGTTAGGTGTTGTTTACGAGAAGCCCTGGCAGCCCTGGATGCAGACAGAGGCTGCCCCATGTTTGCAAGGGGGTCTGCCGGAGCGGGCCGTAGCTTTTCCCTCCTGGACACAGTTCAGTTTCTCTTTGCCCTGCCTTCATCTGCTTGACATAACTGGGTCTCTCTGACCACTCCTCTGGACTACGGGGCTCTCCCTGGCAGAGTTTCCAAGACTGATGCTCTCCTTCAGCTTTTAGTGCCCCTTACCTGCCTCTGCTCTCGACAGCTTCCCCTGAAAACCTGCTTTAATTATGTGATGGGCTGCCTCCTCATCACCATCAGTCAGGCAAACAAAGACCGGTTCCCAACTCTCTAGAAGCCCGCAATAGCCAGTTTCCACATCCAGAGCCAGGGACTGCCTGTCCTCCTTATAACGACTGCACATATTTGCCATCAGGTAGAACAAGAACCTGAAATCCATCTCAGGAATCACTAACTTCCACAATCTCGAATCATGTGTTTAAGCTGCTCGGCTAAGGAGAAGTGAGCTCCCTGCCCAAGTGTCTCCTTACCTAGCAGATCTGTTCCCCTGACTCACCCACTTGAGGGTTATTTAGCAGCAGAGCACAGGTTTCGCAAATGCATTTGATCAGGCACACACATATATCTGGAATAGTAACAGAAATTCCAGGTTTTTTTTTTTTTTTTTTACTTCTGTACATTTTCTTTCAGGGTCATTAGGGCTGTGGTACCAGTTGCTTGACCCCCCGTCACGACTAAGCATTTTGGCAGCTCTGCCCATTACTGACCAGCTTTCGGGGGGGGGACCATGGGTGGGAGTGTGGAATGGGAAGATGAGATAGGAAGTTAAGGAATTTTAAGTAACTTTTTCACAGAATCTCTGTCTGAAAGTAAAGTCTTTCATTTTTAGGAATACTTAAAGCCTTAATTAGTACAAGTCATTAAAAGGCCTGCTCTTGAACTAAGCAATGCAGGGAAAAGAATTCTACGTAACTCTTTTTCAAGTGAAAAACAAGAAATAGGCTGAGTGGGCAAGAGCTTAGGTCAAAGGTATTACCTAACAGGGAGGTGGTCAGTCAGTGCCTCACAATGAATGTTGTTTCCACAGAAAACTCCACGACCTTTCTCCAGTCCCCAAAGGTTGCCATTAGAGGACAATAGATAGCAGATTCCCTTCTTAATTAACATTTTTATTAAATAACCCATTTCAAATAATGGTTAAATTCTCTAAATTTATATCATTCTATTAACCATAATCTAATCTCATTAACCTTGAAATCCCAGTCTTAACTACCCAATTCTATACACCATGGTACTATCTACTAAACTAATTAAGTGACCTTCAAACTATTTCTCCTCCATATCAGATCATTATTTTTCTTGCTCATGGTTCTTTGCTAGATTTCTCGTGATCTCTCACTTCCTGTGAACCTAGTTGCTGAAGGTTCCTGATCTGGGAAGAATTTTCTAACAAAATCAAACCATACAGGACTGTCTGACTTGATTCCTGCCTGCCCCCACCCTCTATCCGGTAGCTCATGCCTCTTTCCCAGCCTGAAGATCCTGTGGCTTAAAGGGAACTCCATTTCTATGGCAGTTCAGACAGCTGGGAGCAGGGAGTCCATTCTCATCTCTGCCGAGCCAGGGTGGGAGGGGTGGAGGCTGGAAGGATAACAACCACCACGTCCTCCCACCTCCTCTGAGGAAGCACCCTTGGCCTGAATGCCGCTCCTCTAAAGACTGAGTCGAGGGGACCCTAGTTCCTCCTTTTCATATCCCTAAGGCTGGCTGAAGAAACAAGAGCCTCACTGCTAATTCCAGCTTTGGTTTTTCTTCCTTTTGACACTCTGGCCAAGTGAAAAAAGATCACAGAGCTGTCAATTCCCACTTTCTTAGGAGTATGCTTACAAAACGTATTTCTTTTCTTAAGCTCCACCTTTAGAGTCCCCAGACACAAGATCCTCTACTTTCTATATTTGGGCTCTAAACAATTTCAGAGAGGCATAGTCCTCTTGCTGAAGTGGTCTGTACAAACACAAGGAAGCTGTTTCTTTTCCTGGGCCTTACCCTCACCAAGATAACCCTAGGCCCCATGAGCACCATCTTATGCACAATTGAGAGAAATACTTTAGGTAAAACTTGATTTTTGTTTAAAAGTGAAAAGCTAAATAAAATGATCAGAATTTACCTATTCAAAAACACCCTGGGTTGTAAGACTTGTTGGACCAATTTGTAAATTAAGCTAAAAAATACCCAGTTAATTCAAAACCTGATAGATACATACAACCATATATGTGACTGTAATTTTATAGAGGAGACCTGAGAAGAATAAAATTATTAATGATAGTTTCATTGCTGAGTGGGATTAGAGGAAATGAAAGAACTTTTTAGTTCTTAATTTTATGTAGTACTTTGATATGATTAACAATGAGAATATATTGCTTTACTTATTTATTTTTGAACATACTGTGGGGCTTGTGGGATCTTAGTTCCCTGATCAGGGATCAAACCTGGGCCCCCTATATGGAGTCCTAACCACTGGACAGCCAGGGAATTCTCAAGAATATATTGCTTTATAACCACAATCTAGTAAAGAAGAAAGGAAATAGATGAGACTTAAACCTGCCCCCTCCCCAAACCTAAACCTCACAGAGACTCTGCTTTCCTTTTGGGGACATAGCTGAAACAACCTCTGGCTACATCACACACACACACACACACCCACACACACACACCCCAAGAGCTTCTGAGAGCAGGTATGGAAGGATTTGGAGCAGGGGGCACTTGTCTTGTGCTAACTGGTCTGCCCTCAGATCCAGCGGCAAAGCACTGAAGGGGCCCTGGCAGTTTGTGTAACATGGAGGGGAAAAAAACAGGCAGAGCACAGATGGAACAAGTGAGATAACTCTAGGAAGGGATTATTTGCTGGAGATAAAAGCGATCAAATTTGTCAAATATCTGCAGGGAAAGGGAAGAAGAGTGTTAGGAGGCAAATGGAAAGAGGCTGCCGGACAATGATGGAGAACCAAAGCAAGATCATAGTAAAGCAAACTGGCCACACCACCAGAGACGCATGCCCCACGGCGATGAGGGGAGAAACCATCTCTCTAGACACTGTTGCTCCCTCACAGCACCCTGGAGCGGTACTGTCCCGTTCTCACGGTACTGGGTCACCACCCTGGCAGCTATACCAGATGTTGAAAATGAGGCTTATGGGGCATGCTGGGGGGCTTCAGAATCAAGAAGCGGTCCTAGAGGGCTGACTCCAAGGGTTGACTGGTTTGAGGTTGCTTGGTAGGAAGCAATGGAGCTGCAACTGTTGATCATTCTTTGAGGATACTGCCTCTCTAGTGTCTGGGTTACCATCGTGTTCTGTCCCAAATTAACATCAAATGAAGGGGAGCCTGCTCTTCTGGTACACAGTTCTTGGTGTAAAGCGTAAGGCTTTTAGGCGGCAGAAGCCTCCCTGTGGGACACCAACCCAAAGCAGCAGGAAATAGACACCAACCCTGACGGCAGTAGAGATAGCCAACAGAAAAAAACAAAACACTTCTAGGATAACTAGTGTCTGGTTGATGGCTCTGTTACCTTGAGAGTGCAAGGTAACAGGGCACTGGTATTATCATCCATAATACCAGATGCAACACAAAACCCTCAACCCAGTCATCAAGAGAATCCTAGAGTTGGGAAAGCATTTTTGAAATCTTCTGTTCCGACCTCCTCCCCAATGGGGCAGCCTGTTGCTTGTGTGGGGTCGTTTATCTCTGGCTTTCCTGGACCAGTTACCAATATCAGATTGGTTGCTAAGGAGGAAAGAATCAGAGGCCTCCAGGCCCTCCACATCCTGGAATGGTTCATCTGCCCATCAAAGACTATTTGTTTCATATCTTTTTCTATCTAGATCCTTGCAACCAATGAGACAGGCTACCTTGGTTGCCAGGTGACCGAGCCCTCCGGTAACCTCACCTGAACGCCCTCTCCCGTGAGAGCGGAGCAAGACTGGATCTGCCAGAACCGGTCGCGGACGGTGTGCAGGTTCAGCCCTTCTGCAATTTCAGAGGCAGGGGCTGCTGTCAGCAGATCCTGCTTATTAGCAAAGATGAGCACGGGCACACAACTTAGCTTTTCTTCCTCCAGTAATTCAGCTAGTTCCTGGATCATTTGGGGAATAGATGGGGGGGGGGGGACGAAATCTATGATATTTAACCATGCACTTCTAATTGAAACTAAATAAAAGTTAAGCTGATCAACTAGCAACTTTCAAGGGCAGTGGTTCTCAAACTTGAGCGTGTGGAAGAATCCCCTGGCAGACTCCCGGGCCCACCCCGAAGATGCTGACTTTGGAAAGTCTAAGCCAGGGCCCAGGAATCTGCATATGCTCCTATTAATAAGGTAGTTCTGTTATAGGGGGATTCATAAATCATACTTAGAGAAATTCAAGGGAGAACAAAAGTTGTGGTTAGACATTTAAAACTTACCCAAGGTTATTATATGCAAATAACTTTCAATGCATATATATACACACATATACATATGTATATATGTATGTATATATACAGATATATATATATTTTTAAAAACTTGAATAAAAATGACAGTTGCTTTAGAGACTATAATTCTGATTCATCAATCTCTATCTCCAAAACATGCATGCGTGTGCATTACGCTTCCTTAAACCCACATCCTAAAGTAACTGCATTAGTCTATCTGACAAGGTCTCTGAGTTTTAGGTGATTGTTTGGGATCTAAACTGTATGTTAATTCTGTCTGCAGCAAGTCCAGGAGAAGGTATACACTTACCTAAAAGCCAGGACCCACCCCTTCTCCCCTTGACCCACATTTTAGCCACTTAAAACACTGGAGCTGTCAGAGAGAACTAGATGGTTTGATGGGCAGATCCCTGTCTGACACCTTTCAGCCCCAAGTTCACGGGTAGCGCTGGTTCACATGAGTGATGGTCCAGAAATCATCAAGGTATGGAAGGGAGAGGGGCTGTCTCCAGGCGAGTTCTCAAACTAATTTCCAGGGAAAAGGAACATAAACGTGGGGACTTCTACCTTTGGAAGGCCATGTGTGGTAGTTTAGGTCACTGGCCAAGTGCTGTACTAAAATGTAAAAATATAAGCACGCTTCCCCAAAGATGTCCATGTTACTGCTCACTTATTATCAGGGTACTAAGCCTGGGTAAAATGGTCTATATCCACTGCGCCTCTATGTAAAATTGCATTTGCTAATTGTATCATGTAATCACGCTGACATGCACCCTGCACTGGAAGCAATATTCAAAGTATACCTATCTCTTGGCTTGAAAAGAAGAGCAGCTTAGTCTTGGCTTGCACATTTCTTCCCATGCCTTCTAATTTGTCCAAGTTACCCTCAGATCAATTAAGTTGGTATTGAAAAAAATGCACACAGAAATGGTAGGTGAACTGTCCTTTGGGTTCACTTCTCTGTGGCCTGGGAAGAAACCTGGAGAGCTTTTGGGCATGGTGGTAAGTTCCATTTGCTTATATCTTGTTTATTTAATTTGATTAAAACTAAAAGCCTTTAAACGAAAAATTGTTTAAAGAATTCTCAACTAATTTCTTTTTAGGCAAGTGGTATTTTGCCTGCTTGCCAGAATGACTGTCTTGTTTAAACTGCAGAGGTTAAACAAAAAATACTTTTCCTCACTCTTATACATTTACAAAGTGGATTAATGAATACCCAATTGTTTGGGAAATATCTCAACAGAACAATTATTTACCTGACCTGTCTCCTCAAATCTTTTTCTGTCTGCGCTGTCAATTACATATATCTGTAAAATGAAAGAAGAAGGTTATTTCAATGAGCAGATATGGAAAAAGACAGGGGAGTACATATATCTGTAAAGTGAAAGAAGTTTACTTCAATGAGCAGATATGGAAAAAGACAGGGCAGTTTCTAGCAAAGGAGCAGATGATTCCTTATCAGCAGAGTTCATGTTAGCACAGCATACAGAAACTGAGCTGATCACTCATGTCAACAATGGACACAAAATAAACTGATTAATTAATTAATTAAGATGCCCAGAAGATACCTCCGGCAAAGCTCCAAAGTAAGAAGGTGAGCCAAGCAGGATAAAAATAGCTACATTTAATGGGAATTCACTAAGCACTCTTTATCCTAGATTTACTCTATTAATCCTCATTATCACTCCATGAGATAGATTCCATTTTTTAAAATATCTATTTTTATTTATTTGTCTATGCCAGGCCTACTTGTATTGTGAAATGTGGGATCTTTAATTGCAACATTCAAACTCTTAGTTGCAGCATTTGGGATCTAGTTCCTTGACTAGGGAAATGAACCTGAGGCCCCTGCATTGGGAGCGTGGAGTCTTTTTTTTTTTTGTAAAGCGTGGAGTCTTAATCACTCAGCCAACCAGAGAAGTCCCTAGATTTCATTTTTATCCCATTTTGTACATAAATAAACATAAGCCGAAAGAAGTTAAGTAACTTGGCCCAAGTCACGTCTAGTACTTGACAAAAAGGAGATTCAAACTCAGGCATACATGACAGTAAAGTACCCAGTTTTTAAAAAAATTATTTATTTGGGTGTGCCACATTTTAGTTGCGGAATTCTGACTTGCAGTATGTGCAACCTTTAGTTGAGGCATGCAAATTCTTAGTTGCGGCATGTGGGATCTAGCTCCCTGACCAGGGATCAAACCCTGGGACCCTTGAATTGGGAGCATGGAGTCTTTGCGACTGGACCACCAGGGAAGTCCCTCAGTTGTTCTTAAACACTCAGCTATTTATTCTGTGTCCCAAAAAGGAAGGGATGGTGCTTGGAGGCATTTACAAATCCTGAAGTGCTCGAACGTCATCCTTCTGGAAGTACTATTTTGATTATGAACTGTAAGCTGTCTTCAGGTTCCAGTGATGTCCCTCCCATTCCTACCTTCAGAGGCTGGGAGGTTAAGATCAAATACTGGAAATAGCAGGTGTAGAGGCTTTGCCAGAGTAAGAGAAGTTTTGAGATTTACTGTAAATTACAAATCCCAAGCTTTCTCTCCCATCACTGTATTTTATTTATTACATAAATAACATCAATATTACAATAAGGGAAATTAGGTTAAGACCAAAAAGAAAGAAAAATTACCTATAGTTACAGAACCCAAGAACATTCATTATTTTAATTTCCTATGAAAGTTCCCTTCTAATTCTTCTTCATATGGAAATTTAAGAAGAAAATCAGGTATATAATTTTGTAGTCCTTTTTAAAATCAGTGTATTAAATGTTCTCCCAGTTGCTAATCTTAAAAATTATCAAAATTTCAAACTCTCTCTAAGGAAGTTAGAATTGTTATTAAACTAACAGTATAATGGAAACATCCTTTTAAAATAACATATTCATTTAAAAACACAATGAAAAACAATCTTCAGCTCCCACCTTTAGGAGGCTTATAATTCTGTGCTACTCTGAAAACTTGCACTCTCTTGAAAGAAAAAAAATTAAAATTCCTTTGCTTAAGTTATTGTTATTGTTTAGTCGCTAAGTCGTGCCTGACTCTTTGCAACCCCATGGACTGCCAGGCTGCACTGTCATTTAGAGTTGCTAGTGTTAAACATTATACCAGGGACCAGGTTCAGCCTTTTCTCTGAAGACTACCCTATGTTTCCACTTGTGTTTCCTTCACAGAGAATCACAGGAAGAGGAAGGATGGATGTTGTTTGGTCTCAGTACTTATTTGTGGTCTTATTATTGTTATTGTTAATATTACTCTGACTCAATGTCAATGCATACCACAGAGATACGAAATTTGATACTGTGTGGTAATTCACTTTGCAGAACATGCTGGTAGCTTATTTTTCCACTGGTGTGTCTCACATTTTCAAAGGAGCACACACAGTATAAATACAGATGTAGAAAGAAGGAATGCAATGGGAGAGTGAACCTCAATACAAAAGATCTGATTAGAACTACTTGGGAGTCTAGAGTGGATTAAAATGATATTCACTCAGGCAAGAGAAGGATGTCTGGGAGGGGAAAAGGGTCAGGTGATGCCTGGGAGGGAGATCTGGGCTCAGGTTACAAAGCAGGAAAACATGTGCTTGGGAGCAAACGGTATGAGTAAGAAGGTAACAGTAGAAGAGGCTGAAAATACAACTAAAGATACAGTTAATGGGAATTCACTGGTGGTCTAGGGGTTAGGATTCAAGGCTTTCACTGCCTGGGCCTACGTTCAATTTCTGGTCAGGGAACTAAGATCTCGCAAGCTGTGCAGGAGGCTAAAAAAAAAAAAAAAAAAAGATACAGTTAAGAAATCAGTGTTTGGAACATCCCTGGTGGTCCAGTATCTGACTCTGCACTTCCAAAGCAGGGGGTCTCAGTTCGATCCCTGGTCAGAGAACTAGCTCCCATATGCTGCAACTAAGAGTTCGCATGCCAAAACTAAGACCTGACGCAGTCAAATAAATAAATAAACTTAAAAAAAAAAAATACCAATGTTTGGTAAGATTAAAAACAGATGGGAGAGAATAATCAGAAACTGAAAGAGAGTTTTAACAGTAGACAAAGAAAGATGACCAGTCAAATACCAAAGAATTCAGAGGCTTAAAGTCAATAAGAAGGAAGTTTTAACTTATTAATTATTTGCTAAATAACTTGCTGGGCTTCCCTGATAGCTCAGTTGGTAAAGAATCCACCTGAAATGCAAGAGAACCCAGTTTGATTTCTGGGTTGGGAAGATCCTCTGAAGAAGGGAAAGGCTACCCATTCCAGTATTCTGGCCTGGAGAACTCCATGGACTGTATAGTCCATGGGGTTGCAAAGAGTTGGAAATGACTGAGCGACTTTCACTTTCAAATTACTTGCTATTCATTGCTTTGACATGAAATTTCACAAAAACATTTTCATTAAAAGATTCCAAAGGAGGATTTTCCTAAGTTGTACATAAATTCTATCATTTAGCATTTTTCTCACATAACTTTTATGAAATTTGAAAACTACTGTACCATAATTCCAGGAGGAAGGCTATAAAACACTGCCCCACTTATTAAAAGGGCCAAGTGAAAAAGTCATAAGCACAAGCCCATCTCTATCGATCCTACAAATCTGTTTTTCTGTGCTGGCACCTGCTTCTCCTCCTGGTAACCCCCTCCCCAGCGCTGCCCAGTTTCTTCACACAAGTATCTGTTTCTGGTCAATAGCTAAGGATAAGTGTTAGCTGTTCAGTCGTGTCCGACGCTTTGCGACCCTGTGGACAGAGCTTCTCTGTTCCTGGGATTCTCCAGGCAAGAATACTGGAGTGGGTTGCCATTCCCTTTTCAGGGGATCTTCTCTGACCCAGGGATTGAATCCAGGTCTCCTGCACTGCAGGGAGATTCTTTACCATCTGAGCCACCAGGAAGGCCCCTGCTATGGTTAAGAACAGCCTTTTTTTCTTCCTTTCTTTTTCCCATTAATAACATAGGTGTTAAAAGAAAAAAATAACATAGGTGTTAAACCAGTCATGCAAAATATATATACATATTTAAATTTAATCCAAAAACAGATAATTAAAAAACAGTATCAGAGAAAGTTAAATACAGTGCTTTTAATTGATCTTATAAAACACTATGGATCTTCAAAAATTGTCAAAAACCTACTCCAAAACTTATAATCCATGGCACTCAGAATGAGAATGATGCTTTAAGCAAAGCCAATTCACATCTTCTTTGGCAACGGCTTTGACATTTTTATTTGGTTGAGGGAAGACCACCTAGAGGAAAAGATTTTCTTCTGGATGGAAGTTCAGCCAACTCTGCCTTATCTGGAGACTGATTATCCAGCATGTAAATGGAGGGCTCTGTGTTTCTCCTCTTGCTTCTGGGCCTCCTCCCTCCTGCTGCCACCTTTTGGCCAATTTATTGCTCCTAAGTATTTTTCCACCAGAGGGGTAGGCGGAGACAAGAGATGACACTAAAAAGTGTGGCTTTTTATCTAAATGTAAGACCAGAAACTATAAAACTCCTAGAGGAGAACATAGGCAAAACACTCTCCGACATAAATCACAGCAGGATCCTCTATGACCCACATCCCAGAATTTTAGAAACAAAAGCAAAAATAAACAAATGGGACCTAATGAAAGTTAAAAGCTTTTGCACAACAAAGGAAACTATAAGCAAGGTGAAAAGACAGCCCTCAGATTGGGAGAAAATAATAGCAAACGAAGCAACAGACAAAGGATTAATCTCAAAAATATACAAGCAACTCCTCCAGCTCAACTCCAGAAAAATAAATGACCCAATCAAAAAATGGGCCAAAGAACTAAACAGACATTTCTCCAAGGAAGACATACAGATGGCAAAAAACACATGAAAAGATGCTCAACATCACTCATTATCAGAGAAATGCAAATCAAAACCACAATGAGGTACCATTACACGCCAGTCAGGATGGCTGCTATCCAAAAGTCTACAAGCAATAAATGCTGGAGAGGGTGTGGAGAAAAGGGAACCCTCTTACACTGTTGGTGGGAATGCAAATTAGTACAACCACTATGGAAAACAGTGTGGAGATTTCTTAAAAAGCTGGAAATGGAACTGCCATATGACCCAGCAATCCCACTTCTGGGCATACACACCAAGGAAACCAGATCTGAAAGAGACACGTGCACCCCAATGTTCATCGCAGCACTGTTTATAATAGCCAGGACATGGAAACAACCTAGATGCCCATCAGCAGACGAATGGATGAGGAAGCTGTGGTACATATACACCATGTAATATTACTCAGCCATTAAAAAGAATTCATTTGAATCAGTTCTAATGAGATGGATGAAACTGGAGCCAA